TAAAACAAAACAAATTTAATAAATCATTACACAGTTTTGTTTGATTAGCTATATGATTTTTTTATAAAAAATCAATTATGCAACAGGTTGTGATAAAAACTAAGCTGATGTTTCGATTTTATCAATACCCAAGAATTTTAAATAGTTAAGCTAAACTTATAGCACCTTTTCTTGGTTAAAGCGAATTACGATAAATGATAAGAGATATATAAATATATATAACTGAAAGATCATAAAATTTTAAAATTGTTTATTATAACAACTAAATTAGAAAATCATACTTAATACTATCATTAAATCATGTTTCAGTAGGTAAATTTTTATCACTCCTATTTTTTTATATGTACCCTACTTATTAGTATTTTATTTTTCACACTAGATAACTTATCATTAGCATATTGTATTGTTATAAACAATATCTATTTTTGTAACATTATAGTTATTTAAGATTTTTTTTTAGTTATTCAAGCTTTTAATCTTTAATATATCAAATAATTTAATAGTAACAAAGTGTTTTCCGTAATAAGGTGCATGATAAAATATTTTTTAACAACTTCAGTAGTTATAAAGTTTTGATTAATAACTACTGTTTTATTTGCAAACAGCTTTATTATGATCAAACGTATAATTATTGCTTTATCTTATATATGTTTGAGATTAAAAGCAGATATTATTAATGCAAATAATAATATAGATTCATTAAAAACGATTAGTGATGATGAGGAAAGAAAAAAAATAGTTATACCTTTTTCATATGAGATGCAAATGCCTAAAGTACAAAAACTTGAATCTCATAGCGCTGCAAAAAGATATCAATCTTATATAATTTTGTTGAATAACTTTGATTTTACATGGAATACTACACCCATACAAAAAAATTTACATCACGCTACAGCAACAATAATAACTAGTTTATCAAATAACAAACATTCAAAAAATGCTAAACTATCCGCTTTTACTACTTTTTCATATTGGATTAATGATAAAAACAAAAGAACTCCTGCACTAAAAAACAATGATAAATTTCTAAAAGAGAACTATGCTGAAGATTACGATATAGCCAATGCGTTGAAAACTGAATACGCACTACTCTATAATCCAGTTAAGATAAATAATGTTAATTATGGTATTAATCTACCCAATCGAAACAACATTAGCGATTGTGTTAATTATATGAATAACTTATTTAACAATTCAAAATATTATGATGGTATTACTACTATCTGCATTAGTAATAGCTCAGTAATAAGATACAATGATATACAAACTGATGTATGTAACAATCAACTTAAAGATAAATACTCAATGTTATCATACATAATAAATACTAAAAATAACTTGAACGATCTAGTAGTATATGTAAGTGATAAGTCACTTGCTGAAGAAGATTTAAACTGCTTTGCAAATCAGTCGGACAATTATCGTCGTAAAATTATTCAACTCATAGGAGATTCAAATTTCGAAATCGTGCCAAAAAATTTCTCGAGAATATTAGAAGATCAAATAATATCATTTAATAAAAAAACAGAACAAGAGTTTATGGTCATAAAAGAATATTGGAATTCTATTCAGGAAGCGATTAATTCACTTGAAAAATTATATTACGACAAACTATATAACGCCATAAAAAGATACCAAGAAATAATAACTCTAGTCAAACTCGCTTCAACAGATAGCATGGAAGATAATCTAGTTGTTATAGGACGTCAAGAAATCCAAATCGTGTATTATTTTACAACTTTTATAGGATACCTTGCAGTAGCTCAGCGTCGATTAAGCATAGTACAAATAGTTGAAAAAAATAAAATATTTTTGAAAACACTCACTGACAACCTCAAAAAGAAATACCAAGAAATTGCTAAATATCTTATCGAAGTAGAAAAAGTTATCAAGAATTCAAATGAACTAATATCAGAATCGATTACTAAAGAGCAACAATTGCATAGCTATTTTAATAGCTTAATGAATGATGATGAAAAATTCTTCTCAGATTATATAAAACTTTTAGCTATTTTAGCTGGAATTGGTATAACTGGAAGTGTAATATTTACGGTTATCGTCTATCTAATTGTATTTATTAAGTTTTATAAACAAAAAGTAGAAATGAAGAAAATTTTAACCTATTATGATTAAACATTAAATTCGTTATATTATCTAATAAATTAAGCTCTGAAATGAAATACGACTGTAGATTAAGATTAAATATATTAAAATAGATTTTAATTTATGATACAGCAAACAATTAAGGAAAATATTTTCAAAATGACCTAGCTACAAAGTCTCAATCTCTGATTCTGAATAATGTTATCTTTATTATAAAGTTTAATAAATAGTTATTTATGATTTATTTTGTATTAATCAATATATTTGGCGTTTAAAACTTTAACATATATATTGCTCTTTAATTTTTTATTTTTTTTAAAAATTAAAACATTTAATACTGTCCCATGATAAATTTGTTTAATACACTATCAAAAACTATATGAATAATTAACTCATACATTTCCATAAATAGTTTTTCATTATAAACAAATTTTTATTAGTAAATAGATATTATTATGTAAGCAATATTATCTTAAAATAAAAAAAAAATAATTACTAAACTTGCTTGATAATATATAGCACAATTTTTAAAAAAATTATTAATATTAATTCTAATTTTAGATTTTTTTAATATTATATTTTAACTTAATATTATTTTATCAGATAACAACATAACAAATGATTCAATAATATTTATTATCTAGACATTAGTTCAATATTTATTACACTGAATATCAAGATTATTTTTTAGTCTGTAAAAATACTAAATAACTTGTAAATTGATTAACAAGTGTCGACGACGTCACTTTACATAATAACAAGATAATATACTTGGGTTCGATTTTTATGCTAATAAAATTAGATATAAGTTTTACGAAATCAATACTTATTTATGTAATTCAGTTAATTAACTAAATAAATTTACTGCTAACGATCTATAAAAACTAGGTCTCGCTGGGAATCGAACCCAGATTGGAGGAATCAAAATCCTCAGTGCTGCCATTACACCACGAAACCCCATATATCCACAATTATTAAGTTTTATTGGTCGAATTTGATTAATGAAGCACGGTTATTCATAGTTTTTATTAGTTTTTTTTATAATTTATGAACATTGGAGTTCATTTCTAATTATTACTATACTTAGTTTACATTGTTTTTATAAATTTTGGAAAATATTTAATTTGTATAAAACACATTTCTCCGATTAAAAACCATAATAACATTATCATTGGTATAGAATTAATAATTGCAAATATCAATTTTAATAAGTAACAAAGTAAAATATGTATTAACTTAGCAATTTATTACATAGTGCCTTTTATGTATTGTTGTTTTATTATTTTAAAAAAATCATCTTTAGTACAAATCATATTTATCTATAAATGTTCAAATAATACACCTTGTGATAGTACTATAAATCGTAAATTACACAACAATTTAAATTATAATTAAATATGATTTTTATAAAAACAAAAAGAACAAAATAAATAGTGACCAAGTAAATAAAATTTCGACGATACGAAATTAAGTTATATTCGACTTTCTTAGTTAGTATAAATCAACTTATTTTATGGTAATCGACATAATAAATTTAATTCCTCATTTTTATTCTTTTTTAAATTTATTTAAATAATTATAAAATATTTTACTTACGTGTAATAAAATTCAAAATGAAAAACATTTTAACATATATATTAATTTTTTTTTAAAAATATCTTAATTTTAGTTTTATTTCGATAGTTCAAAACATTACTGTAAAAATTTTATTTATTATATAATAGAAAATTAAAATTAATACAAACGTTCGAAATATCATATTAATTACTCAAATCAAGCCTACACATCTTGTTCACAATTGGTATTCAACACAGTAAATGATTTGATTTGTATTTTGGATACCTAGAATAAAATTATTTATTTTTTCATATCACAACAAGAAAAAGTGGGAGTAATTCTTTAAATTTAAAAAAATATTTATAATTGAAAAAATGTACCATAACTATCCAGCTAAAATGTTGCAATTTGTGTTTTACATATAAAATATTATAGTAATTTAAACATTACATTGTATCAAAATAAAGTTGATGCTAATTCTAAAAATCGCTAAAATTATTATATTCATGAAAAAGAAATAGATGTAGTATCAGATTTTTTTTCTTTTTAGATATAAAAAGATACATTCACCTAAATCATACTTTACATTAAAACAAGACGGATAACTAGGTTATAAATCAAATAGAGAATCATAGTTCTGAAGCAAAAATAGATAAAGATTACAATATTTTCGTTTTTCGAATATTAGAAATAATAGTTCAGATCTTACAATACAGCATGACATTACCAAGCTAAATAGTGAAAATGAACCATCACCTTATTAAGGATTAGACAACCTGATATAATTCTTAGATGATGGATTTCATAATAAATACTCGAACGATCGAACTATCTTCCTTCGTTTTTTTTAAAACAAGTCAGCTAAATTTTATTGTATAACTTAGGCAGATATATAATCGATTTTTTAACATAAAATTTTATATATTATTAGTTTCGTTATTTAAAAGTAAAAATCAAACTTTTATAAGGTCTCAACTAATAATTTTATAACACTTTATTTCATAAAAACAATGTAATTGTATGACATGAAGATCATGATGAAACGTAAAGTGATAATTCATCATAGTTGTTATAATGATAAAACATTTTCACACCAGATTAAATTCTAAACTTTAAATAAAAAGTCATGATAGAGTATATTTTTAATAAATATTTATATATTTTGAAGTCGAATAAGAAAAATTAATTAAGAAGTTACAGATCATCAAACAATCTATTTACACAACTCATTTAATCTTTTATTTAAAAAAAAAGTTGTCACATAACTTTTGAAATTATTCGTTATATTCTAAAAAACAGTATTATTTATACTGTTGAACAACAAATTCCGTTTAATCAGTATGAGAATTGCATTAAATAAACAAAATAATGTTCAAATGTATTCAGCATTGATTTCTTTATTAAATATTAATATTAGTTTAAATTTCTGTCATGAATTAAATGCTATAATTCGGTCTATTAATTATGCCAAAAAATTTTCAAATAAACATCAAGAATTACGATTTTGTCGGTATAACAAAGCATGTGTTTTAAAACTTTATGATGAGATTAAATCCAATACTATGGACAAAAGTAAAAAACGCGAATATTTATATTGGGTAAAAACTTTTCTTTGTAGTTAAAATAATTACCGTTTTCTAGTTTCTATTTATTATCATATTAATGCCTTTCAAAACGGTTAAGATTCTTTTTACTATTTGACTTATGATGATCATAAATTTGTTACATAAATACTTATGAAAACAGTCAGGATTAAAGATAATTACACACATAATTATAAATAAGTAAAAAAAAAAAAAAAAAAAATATTTGAAGAGCAGGATTAAACTGGGCAAATCACAAATTTTAACTTTAATTGTGACAAATGACTCTGTCTTTTGCAGTAAAAACTCATAATTACACTGCTCAATAATGCAACATGAAAAATATAAAATTTTATAACTCAAATCTTGTAATTTAGTTTTTCTCCCTATGTATATATACAATCATTTTGTACTTTAAAGAAGTAAAGTAAGAGAGACTAGAAAACTAAAACGAATGTATTATAGTAAAAATATTTAACCATTAATAAAATATCCAAGTTGATTTGTGATTAATTTTTTAATTGAATTTCACTATTTTCTTAATTATATAATCAAAGTGATATATTATGTAAAGATATTAAAGCATTATCTATACTCTTTGTAAAAAAGCTAACTTTAAACGAATATATTCAAGATTTTGTTTATTATTATTATCGTATTACTTATGTTATTTTGTAAGCGATATCCAATCAATGTAATATGAAAATCAAATAAGTAATTATTGTTATGGCTAGTAAATATAATTTAACTGAGAAAAAATTGAGTTTAATATCAAAAGCTGAAAACGTATGCTAATGAAAAAATTTTATATTGTTATTAAGATTTAAGTAAATTAACACTATAGCAGAAAATTAGTTAATTCATTATCTTTAAGCAAAAAATAAAATCTGGAACCAATTTAAATACAGGTCGATGATTACATGGGGATTTTCTGACAAACAACTGTCATTTTATTTTATTTTAAGAACTGAACTACTTACTTAATAAATTCTGCTGATGTACTATTTTTGAACATAATTATGAACTTATAATATTGTTATTTTTTGCATAAATCGACAAAAATAGATTTAATAAATCGTTTAAAAAAATATTTTAAAATATAATTATAATAATAAAAAATAAATATAAATAATATTAATAAAATATACCGCATTTTTTTGGCGAAATTAATTCAAGAGTAATGCGTAGCTAGAAAAAATGTTATTTCAAAAATAATTAATTAGCTTAAATTTATAATATTGTTAGTAACATTATAAAAATTAAATTGTTTATAGATGTGAAAATTCATACAATAACGTTTTCTAATTAAATATTATTTTTGATAATCTCGCTCTATCTGATTAAATTTAAAACAAAAATATTGTATTGCATACATTCTATTGTTAATTGCGGTACTTACTTATAAACTTTCAAATAAAATGCATTTATTTTTTTTAGTAATTTGCTCATGATTTTTTTGTATTCGTTAACTATAAAACTATACGACGATAAAAATTTAAATGTGAAAAGAAAATTAACCTCATTATGTTTGAGCAAAAAAGGTTTTATAAGCTTAATCACGCAGTGATAATATTAAACTAACATTGTACTAATTGATATCTGGCTTAGTTCTGAATTAAAAAGCTGCTCATAACAAATTAATTACATTATCATGTAATAATTGCCAAATAAATAAATTTTGAAAAAGATCTGAAACAATTTAACTTAAAAAAAAATAAATGATTAATTCCTGTATAAGCTATCGTGGTTTAGATGAGAAAATAACTAAATTTAGTTAAATTTTTGATTGTCCAATTAATCGGCTAATAATATCATTTTTGATTTTTTTGTGAAATTTGATACACTTATTCAAATCTTCTCATAGTACTATCCAACAGATTACTTTTCTTTACGATTTATTTTTATAGTATTTTTACATAATTATATTGTTTTTAGCAATTATTTTTCGAAGATAGAATGTAAAAAATTATTTCGAACAAATTGAACAAATTAAAAGATGGAAATTTAATCCCTGGTTATTGGATCAAATTCCAATTTGGTTACATGTTGATGTAAACAAAATAAATATGTAGTTAAAAAACGAAAAAATATTTAATATAAGTGTTACTTAAGAACAGAAATTTAGTTTTTTTCATCAGAATTTAGAGATAGCAAAATTAAAATCATCTTATAATTAATGAAAAAAACATCATTTTAAGATAAGTAATAAAACAATTTTTGCGTAGTATATATGTTCATTAATTGACCATGATGTATTTTTTAAATATATTTTTATTACAATATTAGTAAAAAAATATTATTGATGTTCTCTTTACAAGTTTTTTACAATCTAGAAAAAAATAATTACTTTTAGTTAGCATATATCGGTTCAAGATTTTTATATAAGTTTTTTATTAAGATATTTTTAATATGAAATTGGTTCAATAGGATCGAGTTTGTTTTTTTAGTATACAGTTATCAAAGATTAAATTCGAAAATATAACATCTAAATAGCATTAGTTTTGTTATAAAAAAATTTTAATCTAGTCTATTTCAGCTGTAATTAATTAAATTACTAGTTTAGAACTATTATCTTATATTATGTATTTATTATTGTATTGTAAACTCGGTAGTATTTTAACTGCTAATTGATGCTAACTACTTTATGACGCATCTCAAACGTTACTTTTGTTTTTTAGTTAAATTATCTTTTTACAGAATAAATATATTAGTTTTAAATACAAAAATTTATAAAATTGACTTCAATTATAATTTAGATTATAAATTTTAAACACGAATAAATGTTTACATTGAAATCTATTGATAACTTATTTATATGAAATCAAACATATAAAAAATCAATGATATTATAAATGTGCTTACCTAGCTATCATATAAGAAAAAAGCTAATAATAAACTAAGCGTTTTGTCATAAATCTGTTTTAATGATAATTTAGTATTATGAAATAATAACATTAATCTTCATTTACAATAAGCAAAAATGTTTTTTTAATATCAACTCTTACGTGTCAATGAGCCCATACGTTGATCATATTGAATAAAAATTTAATAATGTTTCAATTAAATTCAATCATCTTTAATAGATTTTGTGGACCGGTATTTTTGTCTAAAAAGATTTTAAAGTTAAATATTAATTGATAATAATAAATATAATCAAAATAAGACAACAAAAACTGCTTGGATAAGTTAAATCCGTTATTTAAAATTAGATACACGGATTAAAAAAAAAACATGTATATATCGCAATAATTAAAAAAAAATTTTCTAAAAATATTTAAAACTATGAGAAGTAGACAAAATCAAAAAACAATTACCCAAAATTTTTCACTATTAGTTGATTCATTTGGCGTTATTTTTACTACTATAAGTGGTGAAACACTAAGTCGGATGCTCTCTTCTGATAATATGACCGATTTATTACCCGAAGAATCGTCTCCAGCCCCTGGAACTCCTGTCACATCTCCTCCAGCCCCTGGAACTCCTGTCACATCTCCTCCAGAACAACACCCTGATAACTTGAACGATCCACACCTAAATAATCGCCCACCTACAAATGATCAACAAGACTTCGACTTTTTTACAAGGCTCCCAGGCTATATCCGTGATAATGTCGCACCATTGTTATCTGAGGTATCCCGTCATAATACTCCAGAAAATTCAACTATATCCGATTTTTCCCCTTCTAAGACTTATCAATTTAATATTAATATAGTCAATATAACAGGAAATCGAGCACATATCTGCAGACGAAGTTATGGTTAGGTATAGGTATCACAAACCGAAACATAATAGGTTGATACGAAGATATTGCGATAACTAGTATTATTTATCTCAAGTTAATGCAATAAGATGCACGATTAAATAAAATATAGTTTCAATAAATTGTTTTTTATATTTACTTAAATAATGTTTGTTTTTATATTAATCAACATTTTGTTAAATTTATTTTATAATATAATTGAAGGTGGTAAGAATAATATTATATTAGAATCATTTTTTATTCACAGATCGAACTTGAACTTATTTAAATGAGATCCTAAAATTTATGTGGGATGATAAACGTAATATAAACCAATGTTTTAGATTAAAAAACCACAGATTAAGTACTGAAAGTAGTTTAGACAAATTGTTTTTGGAATAAAAGAAGTAAATAATAACAGAAACTTTTTTAATAATGAACATCAGCTTGCAAAAGTCTGAAAACTGATTAAATAGTTAGCAGGGTTGTTTGAAAATAATCTATTTAATGTAAATTGCTAATGAAAGTTATCGATATACGAATAAAACATTTTTAAACTCAACTCAGTTCCTTTTTTTCAGAAGTATTTTAAAGATAATTCGATTTAAGACGAGTTAAATAAAAGAACTCATGGCTGTAACAATTTGCTATCAAACAAAATCTATTTCTAATATGAACTATGTTTTGATAATTTACATTGATTTTGATTCCAAATTCTTTTATAATATTAGATACAAAGAATTAAATTTATAGTTTATATAATACAAAGTAATTTTATTTCCAAAACGCGTTGGGTACAAATGCGTTAGTTTATACAAAAATATTGTGCTTTAATAAAAATTTGACAGCTTTTGAGCTAAAGCAAAATCTTAAAACTCGTTTTTAAAGCCACGAACCATTTTTCTTCTGTTGTCAAATCACAATCGTGAATTTTATATTAAAAGAGTGTAAGTAGCATGATTTATTCACTAGCTGACTTTATTTCTGTGTTTATTTAGTTTAATTAAAACGATATAGTTTAAGTAAATTTAATCTAAAAACACTACCATAGTTTATATTAACTTAGTGTCGAAAAAAAAGGTAAAAAGTCATCACCAATGCTTTCAAAATTCCATCACCGTTCAAAACGACTTGCGTTGCAGCTCTACATAGATACAGATTCAAATAAAAATCGTTCGGTCATTATAAATTAAAAAATAAATGCATTAGTGTAAATAATAAAACATGTTCTTACTTATTTTTAAAAAATATGAAAATACTAAATAAATCAAGTTTGATATAATTTTAATTGCATATAGTTTAATCTAAGTAAATACCCATGAATTAGTTTATTCAAACGAAATTCAATAATAAATAGTATTTATAAAATATCATTTTAGCTAACTAGAACAATTGAAAACTAAATTTAATTAAGAACTGATGTTCTTAATAAATTATGGATAATTGATAATAAAAATATAACTCATAATTAAAAACAGAGTATTTTATAACTCAATAAAATTTTAATAATCAAGCGTAGAACGACTTGTAATAACGAAAAAATGTTTATCAATGTAATAGTAATATAAATCTTTATAGTTACTATCTTACATTAGCTGTAATATAAACGAAATATTGTCAAAAATTAGTATTAATACTTTTAAATATGGCATTAGATGTAAGCAAGAATAAATTTATGTAAGTTTTCCGTCTAAGTTCAATATGCGTTATTTGTTTAAATATAAAAAAATATGTATGTAATAAAAAAAATACAATATAGATCCTTTTTATTTTTAATCGATAAACAAACTATGGTAACATAAATTTAGGAATAAAAAAAAGATTTTTACAAAAAATTTCTTAATGGAAAGCTCAATTGAGATCAATTTATCGCTAGTAATGGGCTTGCATAAATATAATTGATTCGTTAAGAAACGTTTATTCTACTAAACTGATTAATTTCAGAGATAATAAATATTTTATGAATACAGCTAGTTAAAGTAAGCTTTCAAATAATAAAATTTTTATACAACAGTAGGTAGTTGCTAAAACTCGACCAATTTTTTAGTAAAGACAGAGATATTAATGGATACCAACAGAACACATCAGAATAAGGCGCTATATGTAAAAGGACAGATTCACTTGTATGTTCTAACGATTAAAAATTAAACATCAAAAGCGTACAATTTGCATTATCGATTGAATAACTAATTTTTAATTAAAACCTAGCTATTAAAGTAAGAAGTCCGTGCCATAACATTAGTTTCTTATTGATTAATTCAATCTTTGCTTAAGAGTTTTATATTCTTTATTTAAGCGATAGTGCTGACTAAAAATAAATAAATAAAAATAATTAAGTAAATTAAAAATAATTAGAGTATAAGAGCGTATTTATTATTTTTTACATGATCAGAATCGTAATGAGGATTTAACGGAAAGTTGCTCTGATGTAGATATTATATCGATATTAATCTTGACTGTAAACTTCAATCTGTTTTGTTAAAAAATAAGAGTCGAATTAGTTAGCAGTAATTTTAGTACTGAGATTCGACGTCATATATGGAACACCCACGTCAAAAATTTTTAGAATAACTTAATCTTGACTAATTTTACCGATAGGAAAGTCAAACGTAATTACAATAAGAAACAGATGAACGAAAAATGGAAATTGCAGATGAAGTATCTACAAAAGGATATACCGTTGTTTGCGCTACTCATACTTTTGTTGAAAATATGTGTTACTGATATGACCTTATTTTGATAATTAAAAAGAGTTATACACAATAACCCTATGAAAATGTTTATTTTGTAAAGATTGTATGACAATCACGCTCACAACGCTATATTCATCTGTTTTTATAAAGCAAGGTGTGAAGTCTTTCTTTAAAAAAGTTAGAACTAGCAAGGAAAATGCTTAATGCTGAAAGCGATCAAAGGACTTTTAGATTTGTAATAGAGAAATAATATATAATGCTTTTGAATTTATTATTCCCTATATATATATATATATTAACTTTAAGATACGTTATGTAGTTGAAAAATATTTGTTGTTTTCTCATACATAGAAAAATAAAGTTGATGCTATGATACAGAATCGCAATATATAAATGAATATTAAGTTTTGTTTAGTTAACTTGAATACTAAACCTTATTATAATGATATCTTCGAAATGCATCTAGATCATAAAAATTTTATGGCTATTGTTTCTTATGTTTTTATGTACACTAATTGGATTATATTAACGAAGGTATTTGAAAAAAATGAATACTTTCAACATAATGATTTAATTTCTAAGTGTTCTTTTTTTTGAGTCGAATAAATACTTCTCCTTACTTATATTCAGAGCACGCCGTAATTACTACTACAATATTCAAGATTTAAAAATGCAATATGGAACGTCCAAAGAAATACATATCTATGAATGCTTTGGATGCAATTGGCCGCAATGAATAATTTTTTTTTAGAAATACAAATGCTTTGGGGACGAAGACGATTATACACAAACAACAAGAAAAACGCATGAAAAGATTTAGGATAAAACATCTGGTCATTTTTGTAAACCGAAAAATTTCGAATATTATACATTAAGAAAATTTCATTATACTTGCGAAGGTATTTTTTACACATTTAAAGAGCTTTAAAATAAAGATGTAATAAATCGTTATCAGCATTATACAATCCTTCAATCATGGATTGTGTTTTAGATAAATACATTCTGAACTACGAAATCAACAATTAAAATAACAGATCCAAAAAAGCGATAAAAAAAAGCTTTGAAACTATTAGATCCAAAATTAAGTTACGCTAATCCTGAACTTGAAAAAAATGATATATTTAAAATAGTGTTTAAATTTAGTCAGTACTGAAAGATTAGGTTTGTATGAATCCGATATAAAACTTAGTATATATATTAAATAAGTTTTAATATTTAGAATGTTTATTATTACGGATAATATTAATTTTGAATTTTATCTAATTATTAACATAATTATCTTAATTTGTACGATGTCGAACTTACACGTGATTAATCCAAGATCAGATCTATACAAAAAAAAAGATGTAAGTTATAATTTAAGTTAATTTTAGGCATTGAAAGTGAATGTGCATGCTTCAACCGCTCTAGCTGACATTTTGAATAGCGGGTTAGGCCCAAACGGAACAATAAAATGTCTTGTTTCTGGGGGAGGGGATTTGAAACTCACAAAAGATGGAAACGTTTTGCTTAGAGAAATGAGAATACAACACCCTGTAGCTGCAATATTGTCGAGAGCGGCAATCGCGCAGGACGAAGTTACTGGAGATGGATCTTGCAGCGCTTTAGCTGTCACTGGAGAAATTATGCGTTTAGCTGAACCATTGATAAATGAATGTATACATCCCCGTAAAATTTCAGCTGGATTGGATATAGCCCGTGAATGGACATTAGACTATATAGACAAGAGTGCGATCACATTAGACATTAAAATTGAAAAAAAGGATTTACTACTAAATATAATCAAAGGTGTGATTGCAACAAAAATCGAATCTTTTTTAGTAGAACAAATGAGCGAGGCGATCTATAACAGTATTTATTGTATTCGACCAAGAACTGAAACGGCCAAGGATCCGTCTTCCTTGATTCCGTTAGATTTATTTATGATTGAAATCATGCCCATAAACATAGGTATAAAGCCTGAAGTGAATTTTATAAAAGGTATAGTGATGGATCATGGTTGTCGACATCCGGACATGCCGCATGAATTATTTAATTGCTACATCTTGTGCTGTAATGTAAACTTAGAATACGAGCGGACGGAAGTCAATAGCAGTTTCTTATATAGCAATGCGAAACAGCGTGAACAGCTTAGTCGTTCTGAACGTCTTTTCATCGATAATAAAGTTAGAAAAATAATAGAATTGAAGAATAAAGTATGTACAAAAGAAAACCAAAAGAATTTTGTAGTACTAAATCAAAAAGGTATCGATCCGAGTTCTTTAGAGCTTTTGGCTAAAGAAGGCATCATGGCTCTGCGCCGCGTGAAGCGAAGAAACATGGAGAGAATCACCTTGTGTTGTGGTGGATCTCCTGTAAACAGCGTTGAAGATTTAGATGTATCCGTATTAGGTTTTGCTAGAAAATGCTGGGAAGTCAGTTATGAAGACCAGAAATATACGTTTGTCGAAGTAGACGGTGATCCTAAAAGTTGTTGTATTACTATTCAAGCTCCATTTAAATACCAATTAGAAAGATGCAAGGACGCGATCCGAGATGGATTAAGAGCTTGCAGAAATGCTTTAATTGACAAAAAGTTGCTACCAGGTGCAGGAGCATTTGAAATAGCAGCGTCTGAACATTTAAGAAGTCGGCTAAAGAAGGAAAACAATCCTAAAACTAGAACGGGGATAGCGCTTTTCGCAGATGCTTTATTGACTATTCCCAGATCCTTAGCAAAAAACTCAGGATTGAGCCCAAACGAGGCGTTAACAGCTGCTCAACTTGCTTACAGACAAGCTATTGAAAATGATAACGGCTTGGATAATAAATATTTTGGCATAAACCTTGATTCTATTGAACCCATAAACCCTATTGATGAAGGTATTTGGGACTCTGTTACTGTTAAGAAACAACTCGTCTCTTTATCGACAACGTTATCAGGCTTGCTTTTGATAATTGACGAAATTATAAGAGCAGGAAAAATCGTTAAGAATGATAAACTGCAGCAATGATACGTTCAATGACAACAAAGTTTGTTTAGTTAGGTTTTTAGTTTTGGAAAACTTAGTTTTTTGTTTTAGTTACTCAACTTTGCAGCAGTTAGTTTTTTTACCAGTACATTTTTTCTTTCATTTATTGAAGATTCATGTTTCGCCTTGAGTTCTTGCTTGATTTTTTCGTTTGCTAAAGCAATTTCTCTCGCTGCTTGTTCCTTAAGGTCTCGTTCCTGTTTATATTCAGGCATAATAATTATATCATCTTTTAGATGAGTGTTATGTTCAACGCACATGTTTAATTCGTGAGTCTCTGGAGTTATCTTGATAGGTTCCATAGAAGATCGTTGTCCCAAAATCGTCATTTCATTTAATTCTAAACTTAATGGTTGATCTTGTGTCATTGGTTTTAATAAACTAATTAAATCTATTACCTTAGAGCTAACTTCTTCCACATATTGCTTTATATAAGTAGATTTCTTGTCGCGGTTTAATGATTCCCATGTTGTATCAGTTATCAAATTGTTTCTAATTGTCTGAAGTGATTCCCACTGATAAACAAGAAACTCAGATGCTGTATAACCTTGCACAGAACTATGCATAAATAATGCTTCTTTATTCACTATCTTGGGATCGAGATTGATCGTTTCCCGTACAAATACAACTAAATTTATTGCATCGTCCAGTCTTTTGTTAAAATACTCTGGATAATATAGTTTTTTTATTGAATTCTTTTTTATTACTGGGTAGGATGAATAAAAATCGTTTGAATCAAATGGTTCTTCAGTATTTTTAAATCTAACATAAATATTACTTGATATGGGAAAGTCAGAACTATTAAAACATTTTTCGGATACTGTTTCTCCAAAAAACAGTCTGAAATTGTTGGTTAAACCTGCACAAATAGCGTGCAGGCACGTTATTCCAGATCCTGAAGAAACAGCGCAAATATCGCCTTCAGCTTCTATTATTAATTTTAAACATGGAAATGAAAGCGCAAAGCTAGCTGCATGTATTGCTGTTTCACCATATTTGTTGGGCTGATTTATTTTTGCGCCACATTGGATCAGAAATTCAACTACTTTGTATTGACCACAAATTGCAGCCAACTGTAACGGAGTAGCTAATTCTATGTTAAGTGCATCTACTTCCGCGTGGTGGTTAACAAGAATTTTAACACTGTTGATATTTCCTTGATAAGCAGCTATATGTAAAGCAGTCTGGCTGCCCAGTAAAGGGTCTAGCTGTAGATTGACAAAAACCTTAATTTTTTTATCTAATACTTCGTTTTTAAATTTGTTTGTATCTTTAAATCCTAGCGAGTGTTTATTTTTAAGTTTTTGGTTAAACCTGTCCGATATTTCTTGGATTTGATGCAAAATACTGTTGTTTTTGTGTTCAAGCTTAGCTTGTTCTTTCAAGAATAGTTCTTTAAAATGATCAATAGTAGCACATATCATTTGTGCATTGCATTCATCTGTTGATTTCGAATTGCTGGACGGTTTATTACACGACATATTGTTTGTTAATATATGCAATATCGAAATTTTCACTTCATTGCGAAATAGTAAAGCGGTTAGGTCAGTATTATTTAATAAAAAAGTATACAGCTTGATATATTTTTTGCTCGCTACTAGTCCTAAAATATTATAGCCAGTACATGAATCTATTAAATTAAAATAGTATTTTTTTTGCTCCAACGTCGAAGAGTTTACCAAAGATGTGATAAATGTATAATGCCCTTTTCGACACGCGTGTAATATGATATTTGAAATTTCTGTTTGTGCGACATAAGCTCTTTGTAGTGATTTATAATCTAATGGTTTTATATAGTTTTTTAATTTCTCGGTCGAAGGGTATTTGTCATCAAATTCGTCGTTCAACGTTTCATTTGTGTTTTCTGATGTTTTCACATTTTTACGCATAAATGAACTAATAATTTGATTCATCATGTATATTTTGCCTTTTAAGTATATATTTTTTGTTAGAGAAGTGCCAACATTACAGCTTGCCAGTTTGGCATATCGAAGTATGTGTTTGTGAACAATGTGATCGACTCCAAAAAAAAGAAATGAGATATATAACGCCCGACTTAAAAAGATAAATTGTTCTTTCACGTTAATTGTTAATTGAGCTAAGGTTAGGGCATGATACAAAATAAGCGGATGCCTGCCATCGAGCACGGCACATACAGAGTAATAGGCAAAGGCTTGATATTTATAAGCTATATCATTTTGTTTTGCAGGCTCTGATCTATAGGCTCCAACCAATTTAGAATTTATCTGATGTAGCAAATAATTGTGAGGGTGTACTATAGCAAGAGACTCGTTGTATAATTTCTCGTAAAATTTACGGATTTTAATATAGTTAACAATTGAATCACTTGCAATTTCGTTTTCAATATCGATCAAAGCTTCTCTTAATTCTTTATCTTTCAAAGAGATATTTTCTGAATTAGGATTTTTGCAATAATCACACTCCCAAGTATGTTGAGAAGTAGTTATTAACTTAGTTGGCAATAAATACTTATTGTTGTTTTCAGAAAATTCAAAATGTGCAAATTTTCTCGACGTAAATCCAAGTAGACAGTTATCACATCTGTATGCATTTGTGTATCTTTCGCCCTCGTGTGGCATTGTGCATCTTGGACAATTACAAAATAAAATTTTCAAACTAGCTGTTTGGGTTTTTATATAATCGATTGGAAGATAAGAATCAACAATGAATGATATCGTGAACAACGTGTTATTTGTAATAGATTTCACTAATCGTAACGACAATTTATTAGTGTTTGAGTCATAATTTACTGTCGAGTTAGGTGTGCAAGAGTGTGATAGATCACTAAAAAATGGACTAATGGTCAGGCAAGTATGCGATAGAGGTAGGCGGTCAATATTAAAATAATTTGCAAAGACAGTTGTTTGAAAAGAATGAGTGTGAATTTTTGTTATTATCTGCACTAAATCCTCGACCGTTAGAGATAATAAACCCACTAAAGGGAAAAAATGTTTCAAAGCCTTGCTTAGTTCGTTTATTGCTTGCCATAGTTCTTGACGATAAGATTGAAAAAAGCCAAAGTACCCTTTCATTTTGTAAATTTGAACAAGAGGGTCATTAAGTGGTAAAGTGTCTGTCGTCATGCCATGGAAATTCGTTTTTTTTCTAACAATGTACGTTTTAATCAATATTCTTACCGTCAGAAGTAAAAAGGCGGGGGAAAAACCAAACTGATGAGCGAGCGGAAATAACTGCGTATGTATAAATGGGCATTCCAGTTCGTGTACAGGAGCGTTTTTCAAAAAGCATTCGTTCGAACAAAATACTAGTGGACACGTACTCGGCATAACTGGACAGTTTATGGCCTGGGTATATGTGTTTATAGAGTTATTTGCGCCGCAGCAATGAAAACACCAATGATCCAAATCTTCCGAATAATTTAGATTGCTGGACCCTATATTCATTGAAACAATACTTATAGCGTAGTCCCACTCAATGTCAGATCCTTCAAATATAAAATCGGTGGATGCCATTTGATATGATTTCTTTTCGTTCAGATAATAATACTTGAACAAATTCACAGGTGAATCAGCCCTATTTGGAAAATTAAACGAAGCATCATTATCTGGTTCAAGTTTGTTAATTGGATTTTTATTCAAAACACTGTCATAATAAATTATTCGTCGATCTTGTGTTTTCGAATCTACTAAAGAAATACCAAATTGTTTATAATACATTATTTCTTTGAGACTGTAATACGGACTAAACGTTAAATCTATCCATGAAAACGGAACATCGTTTAAAAAAGAAATGGCAGAAGCCAAAATACCGCTTAAATTACAATATTCACTGCTAGGGTCAAAAATATACTGATTGATTTGAGAAATCAATGCATCCTTATAATTAAATTGAATCAAATAACAATTGCTTAACAAAGAAAATATTAAAGGAGTTTTGTGCAAGTAAGGAATGAGCAGTCGTACCTTTTGAATAATTTCAATTTTTGTACTGTGTTTAAATGCGTTCCACATTAACAGTAACTCTTTGATATTGTCTAAGTATTCATAAATTTTATTTGCGTCAGATATAACGGTGGCTTTGCGCTCAACGACTGTGTTTAAGATGTTTTCACTATTTTCGGAACTTTGATTGTTTTTGTCAATGAATTTTGCAGTTAAGCTTTTTTTTAAAGTGTCAATAGTAATTTTAGGTAAACTAACACTTTTTAATGCAGAGGTGATGTTGTAGTCTAAGTCTCCCGACGAGTTTTGGGTCGAGGATTCAGTGCAGTTAGGTTCTAAAGAATTCGTTGCAGACAAAAGGTCATCATCGATCTTCGATATTTTAGACAAAAAATCCAGTATATCTGTTATCAGATCAATGATTTTTTTGTCGATATTTTGATATGTCGTTGCAGACATTTTGCGGTATTTTTAAATCGCGCGGAAAGATCTTTTTTACTGGTCAGTATATAGTGTATTATATTTTCTCAGTTACAAAATATAGAAAAGTATATAAAATAAGCTTTTTAAAGTGCCAGACGGTGTTGGTAGTTTGTTTAGATTTGCCTTAGCATGATACTACAGTGTTTATCTCTATATAATTATTTTCATTGTATTAAAAATTAATATAAAATGTATTGGAAGTGGAAATGAGTGGGAATATATTACTTTTAGGCGTAGGTACCTCTGGGGTGAAGTCCGTCGCTTATTTAGAGTCTTTTTTAGATCAAAAGAACGAAAACGAATATGAGCTAGATGCATTTTTTATTGAAAATCATAAAGGAGGTTTTTCAGTAAATTCAGGGTATGTACAATTTAAAGATTTAACACTTGATTTTGATTTGCTTAATACTGAAATTCAAAACGCACCAAGTATAGAGTCCCTTGTTAGTGATAAACGAGATACTGACAAAGTAGAAAAATGTAAAACACAGCTAAACAACTTCGACTCTGAAAATAAAATCGAAGATTTGGTTGATAAAGACGCCATCCGATGTTTAGAAAGCGACAAAAATCCGACTGTTTTTTCAAATCGAGAATTTATTGAAAATTTTTTTGACTTTACGCAAAAACTGCTTGAGCCTATGGACAATACTTTAGCGGTGCACTTGAACAGTGAACTTCTTTTAACAGATCAGCTTTTTTGGGAAGATACGTTGAGTATCGATGTAATAACGGATTTTTTTGAGGAAAACAAAAAAACACCGGTTGTGATTTCTACTTGTTCGCCATACCAAGAACATAAAAACATGTATGACTACTACAAAGCTTCGTTGATATCGATTAACTCTTTAGTTCAACTAGTTAAGCTGGCTTCGGAGTACCACGGAATTGTTCTGCCTGTTGATGTAAATTTTTCAAATAAATGTACAGACCTAGTTTGTGAAATCGATCCGGAATTTTACATTCCGCTAGAGCATCAACCAAATTTAATACCTCAAAAAACAGCTCTTTTGAACTATAACTTTGCACTTCCATTGCTAGTTGGTAGCACTGAATGTCCTACTTACGAGATCTTAATGAATAACTGTTCAATTGCTCCTGCTAGAGTTACTAACTCCGATTTGCTGGGTTCTAAAATAAAATCCGGTCACAACGCTTTTTGTCAGCAAAATTGTCAAAAAGTAAATGAAATTGTGCAGCTTTACAGCCAAGCAGATCGAGCAAAAACCGTTGTAAAACGCTTTTCGTTTTTGACAGCTACTGATTGCTCTTTTTTACAACACCAAGACCTAGAGATTTTTTCCAACACATTTTTGTTTGATTATCCGGCACTTCATTTCAAGTGGGATCATACTCACAAGCATTCAATTATTTCTTCAGCAAGTTTTTGCGACGCTCGAATTATTCCTGAAAAAGAGTTCTTGAGTAAAAACCTGCTAAAGGTCTATTTGAATCAGCTACAGGGTTCTCTCAGCAACAACACTTACGTGGTTCCAAAACAGTTCCAACCGAGTTATAGGTTAATTGTTAACGATGCCTGCGACCTGTACGAAAATTTATTAATGTATCCAGAAATCTTCGCTTAAAACAGCTTTCAAGCCAGTTCTTCAGTGTTTACAACGTGTATTGACACAATAAAAAAGAACGTGAAAAAGTTTATTAAATTGAGATATAAACAGTTAAATTAGTTTATGGATAATTGTTTACGTCTGGTTTGGGTAAGTTTAAGTTCAGTAATAACAACGTTAGCTGGAGAGATCAAGACTGGTCTAGTCTTCTTTTTGCTGTTTTCTCTCTTGATAGATTCGAGAGCAACACAAAAAGTTCTTCTGCAAACAGCGCTAACAGTGGAAGTTTGTCCTTTGTGAGTGCCCTTGACGACCTTTACAATGTCACCCTGGCGAATTGGAAGGGACTTCACTTTGTACTGCTCTGCCAACACTTTTTCAAGTCTAGTTGTCATCAGGATGCGTCTTTTCGCTGAATCTGCATTGAAATGCAATTTTCGTTGCTTATTAGCTTTAGAGCTGCAGCTTTTGTTGACGAGCATTTTGAAAAAGATTACTATTGAATAATGAAACTTAATTTTGTTTTGTGTTATTGTCTCAATTAGAAAATAAAAAATTTTTATTTCGCCTTAAACCGTCAAATAACATAATTTATTAAATCGTAATATATGCGCTAACCATACGTATTTGCATCGTCAAAAATCGCCACATTTTTTGACCAGTATGTCACACTCTCCATATATTTATTTTTGTTTATCGGAACTCCGCTCCCTCCTTGACTGATAAGTTCATTACGCATCATTGTTATTGGTTCCATTGGAGTTTCGAAGTTCTCGTTTTGAAACTTGAGTGAAATGATCAGATACTCGCAAGCAAAATCAGCCAGATCTATGCTAATGTTCATAGCATTGTACTCTTTTATGAGCTGTTTTCTCGAATACATAATTACGTCGATGAATTTTGCTGGTTGTACGTTTAACACAGAAATCTGTTTTTTCGGAATGTATCGTCTCAAAACCGGGAGTTCTTCAGGTCGACGCGCTAAGTATTTGGTGGCGATTAGTTTGCTGGTCTCTTCATTAATTTCAACGGCGCTAGGGAGCAAGTTTGACTGGTTTTTTATAAATAGATGCTTGCAAAAATCCGCATAGCCCTCCACTAGAACTTTTTCATCGCTTATTGTCGACACTATTTTGTCAATTGTTTCACACAGAACTGACTTCTCTTCGTCGTTTGCAGAAAAATTTTTTCTGAAATAAGGATCTGAAAACAGCCGTCACGCTCACAACACTTACCGAAACTTATCAATGTCATAAATTTCTGAAGAATTGCGGTGGAAATCGAAACTGCAACTAAAAATTATTGTGAGATAATAAATATTTAATTATATAAAATTTTTAATTGAACGATTAGCCAAGATTTGTTTGAACATGTTTTTAATTTTTTCAACATAACCGTCTTTCAAAATGGAAGAAGACAATATTTCGGTCTCAGCTAACAAACTTCGAATGTGTTTAGTCCAGTCCATAACGAAATCTTGACCGTTGGTTGCGTCGATTTGGCTAATAAGGAGAGACTCCGCATTTGTCAGTTTGATACTTGGAAATCTAGCAACGACTTCTGAGTCGGTGTTTTTCTGCAGCGAGTCTAGCATTTCGTTAACTCTGTACAGTGAGATCATAAACACTGAAAACACAAAATCGTAAATGTTGCAAATATATTTTGCTGTTTTTAGTAAACAACAAGTGTATTGGTGGTTATTGGGAAGGGTTGGTAATAATTCGATTATCGATTCTGCGCAGTGCAGTGCGGAATTTAACTTGTCAAAAATTATAAACAATTCTGAAAAGACCTTGCTACGCAGCGAACTGAATAAAATAAATTCGTTTAGTTCTGGGAGTTCAAAAATTTTTAGAATTCTGAGAAGTTGAACAAAAATATCATCCTTCGAAAACAACAGCTGCACTATGATGTGAACTAAATCGATTTCAAGGCGAGTCGATCGGTTGTTTTTTGACGAAGTCTCTAGTAAACACAACGTCAAAATATGATATGCAAAGTAAGTTGATTCATGGAACCAAGAATTGAAAGAGAAATCAGGGTTTCGCTCAGTCAGCCCGACCATAAACATTTCAAGTGAATTAAAAATTTTGTCTGCGTAATTGTCTGTCAATTCAACCCCAAAGTGAATGATTTCTAACGACACAGTATCCTCAATCAAGGTTAGAGTTATCAGAACTAAAAGATTGCTTAATTGAGATTTGAAAACAGTAGACTTATCACGGACCAGTGCCCGTAAATCAACCACTTTTTCTGGAATATAAATGTGGTGTATTATCGTAGAAACGAGCAATGTAAAGAAACATACAAGAAATTTGTTTTCCTGTACGGAGTTTAAAATAGTTTCGAAAATCTCGGATTCACTCTCTCCACTAGACGTTGAATTTGAAACTTCTTCTTTGCTTATTTTGACCGAAAAAAAATCGTCTGATCGATTATATTCGTCTTCAAACAAGACACCACGACAAAAAAGAATTGAAGAAACAAACACGACTTTGAATTCAGGGTCTGCTGAGCGTGCACTTTCGGGAAGTTTGTCTTCAAGCTCGAAAAACCGGCGAATTACACGGTAGAACTAGTATAATGTTACATTGTTAAACTTACATATTTGGCTTCGTCAACCTGGTTCAAATACGGGGACTCAGCAAAATCAGGTTTGGAAGTTCTGATAATTAGCATTAATAAGTAAATCCAGTGTGGAAGCTTGTTTATCAATGAGAAACTTATGTTGTTAGAGAGTATTTCTATAATTCCGTAAATTTCTAAATTGTTTTGTTGATACTTTTTGTATTTATTTAACGTGGCTAATCGAATGAAAGATTTTCGCGTTATATATCTTTCTAAATCTGGATATTTTTCGGACAATGTATTACAAATTTCTGCTGAAGGATCCAATATGTAGTTTAGTAAGTACGGCATATAATTTACTTTCTCATTAGTGTACCTTGAATGAACTAAATTACATACATTTAAAAGACTTTTATAAATTGACTTTTGTTGCATTAGTTGTAATAAATAAACTTGTACTTCGTTGAAATTTATAGAAAAATTCTTGCTGCCCTCTATGTGTTCAGATAATTCGTTTAATTGAGTATCATTAAGTGTAAAAGTCGGAAATTTTAGTATTGATCGAAATACATATGTGAGAGTTTTCAATGGAAAAATTTGCGAATCAATTGTTGAAGTAATTAAATCTGGCAATATAGTTTTTTTTTTAAGACTTACGTTTAACGAATTCTGTTGATTTATGGATGAAGATTGGAAAGGTTGTGGCTCGCACGAATCTAAAACGCTAGGTAATTCGTTTGGGTTTGTCAAGCTATGAAGGTGAGAGTGGAGATGAAAGGGAGAATCATCTTTTCTAGCCAACGCATAAACATCGCCTTTGTACGTGAGAAACTCAGGAAAGAAATATGTACTAAAATGTTTAACCTCAAATGTCCATTGAAAATCAGGCGTTAATCCAAGGTGGACTATTTTTCCGTTACTTTGTTCACAATAGGCTTTAAGTTTAGCATCGTGCGATTGATGTAATATTTTAGTGTCAATACCTGATTCTAGCAGTTTGGTATTTGGATAAGCGTTAAATAGTGTAATTTGAGCGGTTTTGTTGAGTTTCGTACCTACTGGCATTTCTGTCGGAAGATTTTTAGCTTTTTGATCCTGTTTCCACGCCTTTCCTGCCACTTCTACATAAGTATTTTCAATAATTACAGCTTTGTCAAAGTTAATTTCACGAACATCAGTAAAGCCTGGCCAAAATACCTTGGCAACTCCAATGCGCGTGATAGATAAATCAGGCACTTCTGCTAATTCTGATTCACGCATACTACAAAGAACAGATATAGACGGAGAGAATTGGTAATCTGGTCTAGTGGATATTGGCTTGTATTTATCACTAGGAAGCTGTGCTGAATCAGGAGCAGAAGAATCAATAGTGTTAAGGAATTTGAACGATATTTCTGACTGATTCGTTCTTTGTTTCGTAATTGGTGCATCAGAAGCTTTGTTAGAAGAATCTTCAAGTGTGTTCAAATATTTGAGCGCAGAGATATCGGGTTCTGATTTTGCTTTGTATAAAAGAGGATTTTCTATGAAGTTGGGAGTTGAGGTCAATGTGTAAAGCGATGACAAAGATTGAGAATAAGTGGAACGTAAATAGTTATAAGTGTTTGAGCTGTTCAAAGACGTTATCGAAAGCAACTCTTCTCGTTTCTTCTTTATGTCAGTTATATAATTGGTTGGGGTTTGTGAAAGAGCTGTCATGGATGGTAAGGTACTTAAAGTATTAGTTTGGTTTAAATCCTGTGATGGAACAGTAGAAGGTCTTATATTCGTGTCACCAAGAAGCGGATTATTCGTAAACATGGAACTAGATTGGGAAAAACCAGTTGGATTCGTAGTAAAGATAGTGCCGTTGTAATTAGGATTGCTTGTAGTGGTTGAAGTATTAGCAGCGGGGGTGAACGAAGCGTTGTTAAGGAGAGAAAAGTCCTGATTTCCAGTGGAAGCTGTAGTATTATTTGGTTTCAGCTGATTGTCGAACAAATTTGACTTTAAATCAGGTAAGTTCAAAACATTGAAGCCGCTTTGAGCGTTATTGTTTGTGTTGGTGACTGAAGTTGAAGTGGTATTATTTTGATTTGAGTTGTAATTGTAAGGATAAGAAGTATTAGTACCGGAATTCCAGTTTTGAGTTGAACCGTAGATCGGCTGAGAAGGTACTGAACTTGTTTGAGTAGTTTGATTAGTTTGCCCGTTTTGATTAGTTTGAGTAGCCTGAGTAGATTGGTTCGATTGGTTGGATTGAGTATTTGTTAAACCATATATATTAAGCGAAGGTTGAGTTGTAGAATTAGTATAGTAAGAAGAATTTTGACCATAAAGAGTGTTTGTCTGCTGCGGTAATACGTTGTTAGCGTTTAAATTGTTGTTTGACTGCATATTGTACGTAGTAGCATTATTTTTAACGGTTTCAGCAGCTTTAAGCAACGGATTATCGTTGCTTTGCATAGAAGAAAATGTATTTTGGGTATTATTATTTAATAAATTGTTTTGGTACAGGCCCATAGCTTGTCCGTATTGAGTTCCACTGAGATTCTGTGAAGTCGATAACGGAAAACCTGTTTGCGATTGTTGGTTGTATTGATTGTTTTGTACATTTGAGTTGCTAGGCTGTTGAGTTGAGTTTACAAGCGAGTTAATCTGATTATTCAAGCTGTTAGTAGTATTGGTTTGGTTCTGAGTTAAAAAAGAGCTAGTTACGGGTTGATTTTGACCAAAAGTTTCGTTTATCAGTTTAGTGTAGTCCATATTCGGGTTTTGTGAAGCGTTGTATGCTAAAACATTAGGTTTCGCAGATTGATTCGTATTCGTTGCGTTTGGATTTTGGTAAACACCTGGTTGCATGTTGTTTACTAGTCCAGATAGTGGAAGTGGTGTGTTATTAGTTTGTTGTTGAAAACCGTATAAACCCATGATGTTTTGTTGTCCCATATTGACTGCAGGATTTAAGTTGTTGTTCTGAGTTGTCGCTTGGTTGGAATTGTCGCTACTGTTTTGTGCTTGTACAAAATACGGATTGGTAGCTTGCGCATTGTTGTAAGACATGGAGGTGTTGTTGTAGTAAGGAGTTGTTTGAGTTGTATTATGTATGGGTTGTTGGTTGAAGTTGTTGTTCATTGTTCCACCTGCGGCTGTGTTCACGTTGTTGTCGTTATTGTTTGAGGGTAAATAACTTTGAGCATATTGTTGCTGCGAGGTATTAGGGAATGCAGAATTAAAAGATGGCTGCTGCATTGCTAATACACCTTTATTGCTAAATCTAAAAAATCAACTTTTTCTAATTATCCTAAACTGTAATGATTCTAACGAAGCAGTTAAACAAAAACAAATTAAAGAATAATAAAATATACGTCTAATACTAACGTGATTCTATTTAAATAACAGTGAAAATTACAATTAAAATTTTTATTTAAATAAGACTTATTTTATTTCACCAAATGTATCTTTATTATTTTTACAAATAAAAAATTTATTTGCGATATAATATAGATCCATTTATAATTTTAGTTGCTACGTGCAGCTGAGTACGGAAATTAATTATAAAGCATCCAACTTGTTAGATTATTTTTCATAAATTTATCGTTTAGTTAATCTAAGATGTCAAGAAATTTTGACAATAGTGATTCAATTGAACTTAAAAAAAAGTATGATGCAGGAAAAAAAAGCTCGAGTTTCGAATATTTAAATAAAAGTAATTCCTGCCAATTTACGCAAAAATGTTGCCTGCATGGTTCTTCCAGTCAATATAACTTATGTTTCAGTCATGCTGAAACATTCGACATGGCTAACAATAATAATAACTTAAAATTTAAAACTCAATCTACTCCGCTGGAACTTGATATTGCAAAATTAAAATTAGAAAGTCAAATAAATAAACAACTAATAGATGAAATAAATAATGAAACAAGTCGTTGTTGTTTTCTAACTGGAAACAAACTGAAAAAAGACGGACAGAGTGAAAAATCTTCTTGTAAAAGCTGCTTATTGTCAAGCAGCGGCAACTTCGCTTTGCATATGGCTGATTATATTGAAAAACACAAATCGCTAACTGAACGAGTCTTTAATACGATAAATAAAGTAATCGAACAAGAAAACTCTCAAAAGCGACAAAATTTTTTATGCTGCGAGGAATGCGCCGATCTATTAGAAAGTTTACCAAAATCTTGCGCAAAAATAAATATTGTTAAACAAAGTGAGTCTTATCTATAAGATGTTTGATTTTTTCAAGCTAATTCGCGTTATTTTTATAGCATATTAACAAGAATTAATAAATAACGGTAATATATTTTAGTTTATTTAATTTTCTGATTCTTAGATATATTAATATTAATCATCTTAATAAATAACAGAATCAGTCGATACTAAAGTAATGTTTGCTTATACTTAGATTGGTTTATTATACAAAGTTTGCACTTTCTTGACATCAAATCAATTCTGCTTTTACATTGATCGGTTTTCATTAAAAAATAATAAAGTTTAAATCAAAATTAGTTTCAGTTGCAACAGTAAATTTAATTGATGAAATGCCAAGTTTTACTATGAAAGAAAAAAATCTTTTAAAATATGAGCTGTTGACTGAGAAAGTTAAATGCTCAGTTTTTCACAACTCTCTTCCAATTTTAGCCATGGGCTTACACAATGGAAACATAGAAATTTACAATTATAAAACATATGAACATGTTAAAAGTTTTTACAATCACAGTGGTCCCGTGCGCTCGTTAGATTTTCACGAAAATTTGCCTTTGTTGGTTTCGTGCAGTGACGACACCAGTATTATCGTTTGGAATATTGTAGAAAACAAACTTTTATTTAAGTTGACAGGACATGCTGACTACGTTCGATCTGTCATGTTTCACAACACATTACCCTGGATTTTAAGCGGGAGTGACGATGGAACGATTCGCATTTGGAATTGGCAAAGTCGCCAATGTATATCATTTATAACTGGCCACTCCCATTATGTAATGAATGCTCGTTTTATTCCTAACCAAAATTTAATTGTGTCTTGCAGTCTCGATGGCAATCTCCGCATTTGGGATTATTCCTTGCTTGCACAAAAAAACAGTATACAATCTTATGAAACTCAACTCGATAAACTGAAAAACGTAAATAAGTCGTTTTTACTTTATGAAAACTTGGTCAACGAAGAAGTTGTGTGCGTGTCTATTGTGCTTGCTCATAAACGTGGCGTTAACAATATCAGTTGCAACAAGGCAGGAAACCTAGTAGTTTCTTGCAGTGATGACAGAACGGCTGTTATTTGGGGTTTAGAAAATAACGAACTTGTAAAGCAAATAACTTTGACTGGGCACATTAATAATATCAGTCACGCAATATTTGATGACTCGCTGCCAATTGTTTATACATGCTGTGAAAACGGTTGTGTGAAGATATGGAGCATTTATAACGGAAGATTTCTACATTCGTACGAATTTCCGTCTGTGTGTTGCTGGTATCTGAGCAAAATTTCAATTGGAGCTCTCCTCGCAGTATCAACTGATACAGGATGCGCATTACTAGATTACGCATTCACTACTATTACTAGCTGTGAAACGACTCTTCAACATAAAAAATACACTAACGGACCGTTAAGGTTGCTTTTCAACTACAAATTAGGAAATACTTATTTAGTTCAACACGGAGACGTATTGCAAACTCTGATTTCTGACAACCAACCCATAATCAAACCGTTCAACTATTCATGCATTTTGAATAAGGTTTCTTGTAATAAGTTTTCTAGCAGGTCGCTGAATCTACTGCTTTTTTATTCAGAAAGTTACCTAAAACCGGGAAAAAGTATTAAAAATCTAGACGGAAATAATAGTTCTGTTTGTTTAGTAAATTTAAAATTTTCTTTCAGTTTGGAAGATAATAACTCCGATAAAATAGATGTGAGTTCGGTACCTTTAGCTAGTTTTGAAGTTCAAGACGCAGTTTTCGTGGGAAGAAACAAATTAATTTGTCGAATAAATAAAAATCAGTTTAGGTTTGTCACTTTTGCACAAGCAAGTCCCGTTTTTGAAAGCGACGTTATTTCATTAAAAGTTGATTTTCCCGTTTTATTGATGCAGTCCTTTATGCCTAATGTATTGTTACTCTGCTTAGCAAATAAAAAAGTAGTGCTATACGATTGCAATTCTCATATAATTTTGAAAGAGTCAAAGTGTTTGCCTTCAAATAAATTTAAAGATGTGATTTTTAGTCTGGATCAGAGCGAATTACATCCTACGGAACAAAAGTTTGGTCATGCTATAATTAGAATGAGTGATTGTTTGTGTCTAATTTCTTTGAGTGATCTGTCTGTACTTGCTGTATATAACGAAGTTGCTAACAACGTGGTATGGTTATCTGAAATTATTTTTATTTGGACAACGACGCCATCTGTGAAAGGTTCATGTATATTTAAAAAAAAAATTTACAATTTGGGTTCTTTCCAAGACCAATCTTCAGAACCGATATTGGTTTCATATACTAAAAAATGTACTAACTACTACAAGTTGTATTTCATTTACGAAAACATGAATAAAATATCGCTTACAATCAACGTCTTTGACATCAACTTATTTTTGGCGTGCAGAGAAAGATCTTTCGATAAAATAAAAAAACTTATTTTAGAAGTCAAACCAATTGGGGAAGCGTGGATATACGAGTTACTAAATAGCAATTACTACTCTTTCATATTGTCTTTTGTGTCTGACGTTAAAAATAAACTGGCTTTGGCTATTAAATATAATGATTCTCAAACCGCCATAAACCTAACCAAATCGGAACAATTCAAACAACTTGATTTAGATTTGCAAAAACAACTGCGTTTTGAGGTTTGCACAGTCGCGCTTCGTAATGGAAATACTTCTGGGTTTTTAGAAACTTTAGCAGAAACAGGCTATTCGATAATTATGTTGATGAATTTAATTTTAATTGGTTCAAACAGCAATGCAAAAAACCTGACAAATTTATGGTATCTACTTAAACGTTATAATGATGCCATCGCTGCAGGAATATTGACTTGCGATATAGAAGTAATGATTAAAGCTTTGCTTCACAAAAAAGCCTATTCTCTTGCGTATCTATTATACCAATCTTATAGCAGCTTTGATCTTCAGCTTGATAATGAAATTAACGCTAGTTTGGAGAAAATTGATCCTAATCTTAAAAAAACAGTTAACGAATACTCAAAAACTCGTGTGCATAAAGACATAACTTGTGACTCTTTGCAAAAACAGTTTAACAGCAAACAAAAGTTTATACCCAGTCAATATCTTCCAAGTGTTCCGTTGGTTACGTCGATCGCCACATCGCATACAAACTTTATTAAGTTAAATAGCCATAAAGACAATATCGAAGAAGATATACAAAATATAATTTCAATTCATTCGAAATCTAGCGAGACTGAAAGTGATGTAGACAGTGAATTAGAATTTAACGAATGTATTGAAGAAAACAAACAGACAGATTCTTTTAATGCTTGGAGCAGCGACGAAGATCTAGTTGAATTATCGTCTGACGCTTTGGCAAACGTTGAGGAGACACGTAGCTTAACTCATCATTTCGACAATTCTAATGCATCGTGGCACGAATTCAAACTTGATAATAACGCATGTTACATTGATTTTATCAGAGTAGGCAGATTTTCGCAAGGTTTGGCTCTTTTGGACTCAATGTGTGGCATTCATCCAACCAGAACAAAAATTATTAAAAATTACGCATTTCGCTTATTTCTTTCTAATATTATCTGCGTTCCCAGCTTGTTTAGTCCATACAAGGCTGCTATTTTGTTTAAAAATAAACTGGGCAAGACAACAAATGGAGATTCTGCAGATTATATGGTTGATGACGTCAATTTACGAGGTTTGTTTGCCAAACTAGAAAAAATTAGAAGTGACTTCTCGAGTAAAAAACTAAACTCTATCGTTGAAGACTGCAGAAACTTATTTTTACATTCTCTATTCGTAAAAATCAAAGAGTCACAGTTAAGTGAGTACAACTATGCGATCTCTGCTATCCGTTTTTACGTAGTTGCCTCCATGATATGTTCAGAATTTGAAAGTGTGAAAAACAAAGCGGCCGTTCGCGAGTCCGACCAAGCTGAAACCCAGAAAAAATCTGAAATAGATTTACTAAACAAGTTTGTGGCGTTTTTAACTCACAATTCCTCCGAAATAGATCAGCTTGCAATTATTCTAAAGCAAGTTGTAAAGTTGTCTATCGGTCTCGCCAATTATCTTACGGCTACCCAACTGATCGAGTACTTCACAACTTTGTACCCGGACAACACGCAAATCGCTAAAGTGTCTACGAGTTATTTAGATCGATGTTTGGCTGAAGCGTATAATCAGTTCGACATCATTCCAAACATTGCAGTTTTAGCAAATCAAAACGTTTGTTACGCTACATTCCGCTGTTTCAATGATAAAAATAAACTTTTTTGTCGAGTCTGCAAAGCTACGTTTTCAATCGAACATGCAAAGAGTCTGTGCCCGATTTGTGAACTCGGAACAATTGGTACCATGGCAGTTCAAAGAAAAAACTGGCAATAAACCAAACCAACCACAGAACTTTTTCTTAGATCAAGTTTATAAATGGACAATTCCATAGGAACAAAAATTTGAACTAAAAGTTATGCGTTCGAGCTAAAAGAAGAAATTTACAAAAATAAGTTAAAGTGTGTTCTCATAGTGATACTGGCTCGTAGCGTTCGCCTTGAGCTGTTCAACTTCTGAATGGCTAGCCTTACTGATTGTTTGATCGTTAATGCTCAAAAATTCCAGCTCAAAGTCTTTCTTAGAGTCGTTGTCTAAATGCTGCTTGACAAGCACTTTAGCTATGTATTTTTTCATATCATCGATGGTCATGTTTTGTCTGTCGCAGTTTTCTAAACTGGTTACTGTGAGATCGGACTCGTGGCCCAAGGCTGTGCCGTAAACGCTTGTTATTGATCCGCTCGTGTCAACTATGTAAATTGAAAATCTTTTGTCCGTCGCGTTAATATTTTCGTTTTTTTTTATATATGCGCTTTTTGTACTGTTCACAACGGTGGAACCTGGAAAGGTTGGGTTTTCTGGTTCTTCAAAAACACCAAAAATTGTGTAAGCACCCATTGGTCTGTATGGCCAGTAGCAAGTGTAGGCATGTAAGTATTGAGAAAAGTTTAAGGCCAAGATTTTACCGGGTATGTTGCTGCCCCACATATCAAAGTAATATAAACACTCTAATCTGGCGCGATCAACAAGTTTTAAGCCGTCTGATCGCATGCCCACGACTCCACAAATAACGTTGTCTGAAATTTTGAAAAGTCGATTACCACTTTGGGGAAGCAACAGCTTGCTTTGGCGCCAAATGTTAGCTGCAAGCAAGATGCCGTCTTTGCAAATAATGCCCAAGACTGGGCTGCTCGAAGAAACGCATTTTTCTGCGTATTCGATTTGGTAAAGCCGGCCGTCTTGACTAAAAGTTGTGACACTGAGATCGTAACCAGAACCGATTCCTGACATTTTTTCGCACTACTAGTTTTTATTTGTTTCTGCTTTCTGTAAATGAAACTAAACTAAAGCATTCTACTGCTAGAATAAGTAAAAATATTATTCTCTTTTTTCGTTAATAGCGATTAGAAAAAAATAAATAGATTATAATTAATTAAATTTATTTTGCTCGTAATTAAGTTTGTCAAGGTCGTCCGTGAATTTATTGTATTCCGCCTGAGCTGACTTTTTCTGTTTGCTTTCGAGGCGATCGAACTCGCTCGTGAGCCAAGCCAAGTAGTACTCAAAGTAATCCTTTTTTTTCGTTTCAATCAGCTTGACGAGCGAATCAAAACCTTCTGGCTCGTCGTCTGGGTGTATGGAAATGCACGCATATAGTTCTTTCGCGTAGATGTCGGCGAAATTCAGGGCGATCGATTTCGCAAGCGAGTTGCTGTAAGAGTCAAAGTTCGACTGTTCTGCCAATTCAACAATCGCGAGTATGTCTGTGACGAGACTTTTAAAATCGAATTGGCCGGCCAAATCGCTTTTGGAAAATATTCTGATCATCGGCAGCCTTAAACGGCACTCGATCGAAGAGGCACACAGTTGGTTCGACATTAAAACGTTCATCTGCTTGCAGCGCTCTGAATCTGCTAAAAATAAAATTAATGAGGGAAACTGGAACGCTAGGGCGCTTGTTATCAATAAACCGCTAGCGCTCCAGTTGAACACCTCAAGCTGCCCTGGCGTGTCAACCAGAATATAGTCGACTTGTTCTGCTCGTTTGGTTAAAACGTCCATTATTTCGTTGAACTTGGTTGCGTACAAATTAATACTGGTCAAAATTGCGCCATTCGGGCCTAAGTTGTATTTTTTCATTACTTTTTTGAAATTTATTGTATCTCTAATGTCTAAGTTCGCTTTGTACAAGGTAGTTATGACGGCTGGGTCCAAGTTCATTACGTAAACGTTTTTTTTCATGACTTCCTGCAAAAACACGAAAAAAGACGCAATAAATGTAGACTTCCCAGCGCCAGCCATGCCAACCACAAACAAAACTGTGGGAAGTTTCGACGCTTCGTTGGGCAGCTTCTTCAAAAACTCTTCTTTACTCGTTCCAACTTGTGAGAACGTTTTGCCTGCATCAAACTCCATTTAACCAAATTTATCACGAACTGGACACTTTTAACTTTTTAAAGTTGGTACTCCTATAAAGTTTAAATATTTTTTTTATAATAAATTTTAACAATATTTATTTAGTTTAGAGTCATGCTCTAGTTTTTGCTCGGTCAAGTTTCGAGTTTGAATGAGTGGAGATTATGATCTTGTAAACATTGAAGGAAAGCTTTTCATAAACAGGAAAGACCAGAGCCCTGTAAAATTTAATTCAGATCTCGACGCTTCAAAGATTCAGTATGTTATAAATGCCAATTATTTTTAGCGAGTACTTTCGCAAAACTTGCGAAATAAAAAACTATTCTCTTCAGCAAAACAACTTTCAAATTGACGAAATTGATGAAGATTGCACCAGCTTCGATGAAGATGCTTTCAAAATTGAAAATTTGGCTAAAAAAAATTTCACTGAGTCAATCCAAACGTTCAAGGTAGAATTGAAATTTCTTTTACAAAAACGTTTACGGGAGTTGTGGAACGCTTATAAACTTATAAAGGTTCTGATAGTCGCTCCAAACGAATCTTATTTCGGCTTGATCGTTAGACATCAAATCTTAAAGGCAAATAACCCAATTAAGGATTCGTACGACACAAACGGTATTGTACAAATGTCTTTGAAAGATTTCAATGCTTTGTGCAATAACAAATCGAAAGAGCAGGTACGTTAGATTAAAACCATTTGCTTTAGGCGTTTTCAATTCTCCGAACTTTATGTTTGATGATCATTCAACTCGTACAGATAACGATCCCTTCCAACGGCACCATTTATACCTTGATAGTCAGCCACAATAAAGTAATAGCGAAAAATCCGCGGGAATCGCTATTATTGAAACACGGCTCTGATGGTGAGTTAAACCATGTAACTAGCCAAGTACTGATCAATATTTTAAAACAAATTGCAATCGAGTTGTCTGTGGAAATCTATAATGATGTGATTCTTCAACTCTTTGCTATATTCGACGTTATGAATAACCCTTCTAGTAGCAGCTTGCTCAATGTTTCTTAAACAGTCTTGGTGGTTTGAAAACACAATTGCGGCACACTAAAGCGATTCGTACCTTGACGAAATGTCTTCCCAAAACTTGACGTTTTCTTCGCTCAGCAAAGATGAAGGCTTTATATACTGCAAAGCATTTGTAAATTCGGTTTCTTGGGGAAGCCAAAATGTTTCGTTTGTTAACGCATTGATGTCTTGGCCTATGTTTTCAATTACCGTTTGGTAGACTAGCTCAGCAGCTTTTATACATAAACTTCGAATGTCACTGCCGTTGTAACCGGATAAATTTTTTGCGTAAGAATCAACCCAAGAAAGCTCAACATCGTTGGTCAAATTCATTTGTTCAGCATGGTCGCTAAGAATGGTTTTTATTTGAGCTGCTATTGAAAAATGGTCTGGTAAAGGAATGTATATTCGCTTTGACAGTCTACGCAAGGCTGCTTCATCTAAACAGTTGGGCCTGTTTGTAGCTCCAATAACAATTACTGTTTTTTTCTCATCATTTGTAAATCCGTCCATGAATTGTAATAATTGGTTCTTCATGCGCGTAGTTGATTCTTCCTCCTTGTCTGTTCGTTTACTCAAAATCGAGTCAACTTCATCAAAAAAGATTATTGAAGGAGCTAATACTCTGGCTGCACAAAACAACGTTTTTACAAGACTTTCTGTTTCACCATAAAATTTGCTAGTCAGATTGGCTGGTGTGACATTAAAAAAAGCAGCTGCAGATTCTGTAGCGATCCATTTCGCAAGAGTCGTTTTACCTGTTCCGGGTGGACCGAATAATAAAATGCCGTTAGTCGGTCGATATAAACCTTTGTGTATGTCGGGACGACAAAGAGGTCTTAGTATCTTGTTTTTAATTAACGCTTTAACTTTTTCTAAGCCAGCGATGCTGTGTTCTGTGACATCAAGACCCGAAGGCAGAGTCAAACACGTCAACATTTGTTGTAGATGTGCTTCAGAAAGTTGTGGGTAACTTTCTAAAACTAGTTCGACAGGACCTTTTTGCGGTTTAGTTTGTTCCGGTATAATAGTTTGGCTGTCTAACTGATGTAAGTTTTTTCGAAAACCTATAACAGGCTTCATCTGATTACTACTTTTTTGACTATTTTGAATTTTATTTTTTGCCTCTGTGTTTAAGAGGTCATAAGCGGGTCTGAAACTGTCATTTTCATAAGTTGCGTCGTTGTCTTGCCGTTGGGTATAGCCATAAAGCTCTTCATTGTCCGAGTCGGTTAGTTTGTTTTTATTGTTCGTGATTTGAACCCCGAAATTCAGTAAATTTTTAGATCTTTTTGCGGGTCTGCGTTTAAAATTCAGGTAATTTTTTTGTACTGGATTTTCATTTAAAGATTCTTCTGTTGTCGAATTAGTATCTGAAAGATTGTCTTCAGCTCGTCTGTTACGTTTTTTTCGAGCAAAAGTCGTTCGCTGCCAGTGATTCCATACTTGACTCATTACGCATCTTATGCCACTTTTCTACACACATTTTATATTATCGACAATATGATTTTATAGGCCGGAAATTATACCAATAAAGAAAAAATCAAATTAATTTTTATGATTCATGAGCCTGCCAAAGTTAATTTAAGAGATGCATTAGTTATAGCTAACTTTCCTGTAGTGAGGGAATTTTTAGTAGACAGTGATTCACATAAAATACTAACTAATAATAAGAAACTGATCGACGAGAGTAGCTATTTAGATTTATTTTATCAGATCCTAGAAGGTAAAAAAAAACAAAAACTTGTCGAAGAAAAGCAAAAACAAAATCTTAAGAAGCAGGAACAAATCAAAAATATTTTGCATTCACATGACCAAAATAACCACGAGCTTGTTCAAAGTAAAAATTATGAATTTTTGAAGAAAGAACTAGAGCCTTACAAGCTCGCGTCTAGCAACAATAATTCATTTATGAGTAAAATAACAAAAAACATGAGAGATAAGCTACTGAGTATACTGAGAAAAAGCAACATTAAAATCAAAGACGATTCATACTGGTCCGCTCTTTTGTACAAACTTGGAATTGAAGTTAGTTCTAAGAATAAACTTGATTCCTTCGCTGAAAACTTAAAGTTTTTAAATTTTTTAGATGACTTAACTAGTACACATTCATTTTTTTTGACAAACAAAGATTTAATTATACAAAATTGTAATTTACCGTCGAAATGGCCTTATGAGGCTGAATTCTGTGATAAGGATTTTATTTTATTTAACAGTGATACCACAACACTGGTTCAAAACACGAAACTGATTTCTAATAAAATAATTACCAAAAAATGTGGATCTTATAACAACTTGCAGTTAAAGCTCGGATATTTTATCGCTAGCCCAGCAGTTAAAAACTCACTAGAAGACATTGTTAAAATTTGCAACACTAGTTGGCCTCTTGGCCATAAAATCAATAGTAACGTTGTGCCAGAGGTTTGTGATTCGACACTATTATTTGTCATACAACTAAATAATCTTGGTTACGTAAATTTAAAATTTTTTTCGGGTGGTCTAGTTCGAGAAAAAATACCAAATATATTATTGCAGAAAATATCGGACAAGCTGGTGCTAGCGGCGAATAAACTGAACAACAACGAAAGCAGAGCGATTTACCTACTAAACAACATTTCAAAGCAATTAGTCTTTGATTTTTCGGATTTATTCATCCGGCCACGAACCCTAAATCAACTTGTGGTGTTAGTTATTATTTTCTTATTTTGGTTTATTTTTTTTGGAATTACAGGATATAAAATTTTGATGTCGATTCGACTAGAAAACAAGACTCAAGCTGATAAAAAACAAAAAACAATAAAAATCACAAACGTTGACGAAAGCTATCTTTGCAAGGAAAAGTTGATTTAGTAGATTTATTCCAGTAGTATTTCTGCGTTATTCGCTAAGATTATTAACCTTTGAAATATGTCTTACACATGTGCAGTTTGTGGTTCTAGTTATGCTCGAAAAGATGGACTTAAACGTCATGAAAAAAACGCTCACAAAAAAGATACAGAAATTGTCGAAAAAAAATTTATATGTGAGATCTGCAACAAAGCATGGGAATTTCAGTTTGAATTAAACAGACATGTTCGCACTGTGCACAACAAAATTTTCAGATGTCATATTCATCCCATTTTATTAAAATACGGTTACGTTTCCTGTAATCATTCCTTCAGTAAACTTATCCAGCTGATGTACCATATTTGTTACAAACATAGGAATCTCGTCAATCCTGCTCTGCTACGATTAATTTTGTTTTTTTCTCTATCCAAAGTAGAGTCTTCTGAATTAATAAATTCGGATCTGTTAAATTTAATACAAACCAAGCTAAATGCTGTCACTTACAGTTCAAAAATCGATAACGCCGAACTAATTAACTTATGCCATTCTTTCACCACTCAGTTGGATGATGACTTAGTAAAAAATTTAGTTACCAAAATCGATCTTTACACAGAAAAAGATAGCAACGAGCAAATTTCAATTTGTTTCTTTGATGAGTGTTTCGACACGAAGTTTACCACGCGTAGAGCATGGTACACTCATCTTCAAAGGCACATTAACCCAACTTACACTTGCGAAGAATGTGGTATGAAATTCTTAACGTACACGTCATTTTCTAACCACTACACTACGACAAATCACTCTGTTTCAAGCAAGAAAAGACTAGCTCCATCTCATTCAGATTATGCAGATTACATTTACAAGTGTGAAAGTTGTGATGTAATTTTTTACGAAAAGCACGAATGGCTTAATCATATTAAAAAATATCATTCTACTAATGTTTAACTTTTTCAACAAAATACAAATTACGTCTAGACGAATTGAAGCTTTTTGTCCAACTTGATGTCGTTGTAGCTCACTTGGCCATAGAGCGAATAAGCGAAAAATCCATGAAGGACTCCCGCAATTATTTTTAAAATCATGTTAATCAAAAAATGTGCTTTTGCTGCTTCTGAATAAAATGAAAATCGGTGAGGAAAGACCAATATCGGAAGAATTACGATGTCCACAAAACACAGGATGATGTATACAAGCCTGTGCAAGAAAAAGATTGTCGCTTTCTGCTTTGTCCGGAGCATAGTGTCGAACGCCATTTGTAATGCCACAGTAGCACAAAGGAAAATCACAGCATACAACGAGTAAGTAAAGGCAAGAAAAAAGTCTATAAAATATCGTTTTTAATACTACTTACTTGCGACTGTTGTAATGGCAACCGATATATTGTCTACGTATCTAATTTTATCAAAATCCATTCTTAGCGTCTTCAGCTAAATTTTTTTTTTCATTTTGAAGAAAACTTTTTCCGTGGTGCTTTCACAAAATTAAAAAAATATTTATTTATAAATAAATATTTTGATCTTATTTATTCATTTATTAAAAAATGGCTCTCAAATGGCGGAACAACACAACGGAGAAATAGTATTAAATAAACTTTCAAAAAATGAGCTTCTCATTTTACAAAAACAGATCCAAACAGTACGTTTTTCTAATAGTATGAGTTTCAGTCTCATTATAGCACTTTAGAACAAGTTAAAGTTCTTGGAAGCACTTTGCAGCGAATTAAATCGTCAGAAGGCGTTTTGGCTCAACTAACTGAAGATAAAAGAAAAGAAGTAAGTCAAAAAGCCCAAAACTATACTTAGATCCTTGTTCCCTTATCGTCCACGTTGTATAAAAAAGCTGAAATTATAAATCCAGACAAATATATTATTGATCTGGGTTGTAATTATTTCATTGAACGTACTTTGGACGAACACATAAGCTATTTCAATAGTCTTAATGAAAAGTTCACACCGATCTACCAGTCGCTCGAGGCAAAAGTAAATCAAACAGTTAAAACTTTGCAGGAAATCAACTTGCTTTTGAAAGCCCAACCTACCAACACTCCCAAAACTGCGTCATAAGTCAATCTCAATGAAATCTTCTGTAGTTTTACTTGTTTCTGTTTTTAATTTTTTGCTCGGATTCATAGTATCAAGCGAAGATAACATTTTACTGATTTTCTTACTTTGTCTTTCATCTTTAATTTTATGCCAATTAGCCTCCGAGCCATAAATTTTCGTTTGTAATTCCATTATTTGAAATTTGTAATATAAATTTACTTTTCTTCCATTTTTAGTGGTGCTGGTTTCCATAGCTACGACATTATTTTTTACTGCGTTCGAAAGCACGGAAAGACTTATTCCATAGTTTTCAATAGTTTCACTCTGTGTGACTTTTTGATAAAATCGTTTATTAATATTAATACATTTATTGCAAACAAGGTGGCTAGTTTTTGCTAGTGAATCCACTACGTATTTTTGGTTTCCACATCTGTGACAAAAGCCTGTAATGGTTTGCGTAACGAAATCGTCACTGTACTTCTCCCAATAAAAAAACTTTACATCTTTTTGGGGGTTAAACATATAAAAAAAGAAAAAAATATTTATGCCGAATTCGCAATGCAAAGTCTATTGTAGAATCCGGAATAACTACGAAGACGACGAAAAATTTTCTTTTGATTACACCCAAGACTTGGTCAGAATAGACTCTATTAAGACATGCTATTACTTTGACCACGTGTTCGACGACTTAACAACTGATGAAGAACTTTACGATTGCACTGCAAAAAATATAGTCGACGGATTATTTGGCCAGACTAATGGAACTTTGATTTTGTATGGACAAACTGGGAGTGGAAAAACTTATTTGATGGGATTAGAAAATGGCCAGCGAGGTTTGATTTACAACACATTTTGCGACATATTTGATCGATTGGCTAAATTGCCCCCAAATGATATTACATATAAAGTTAAAGTGACTTTTATTGAAGTCTATGGTAACGATCTGTACGATCTTTTTGACAAAAATCCTGTTAAAGTTCCTATAGCTTTTCCTATTATCGAGGATAAAAATCACTTCATGCAGTTACGAGGATTGACAGAACACATTGTTACTAATTTAGATCAGGCCGTACAACTTACTCAAAACGGCATATCTAAAAGGGTAACATACTCTCACCAACTTAACGCGTATTCCTCTCGCAGTCATGCCATTTTCAATATATATTTGGAATCGACAACCACCTGTCAAACTAAATTGGCGAAACTAACTTTAATTGATCTCGCCGGAAGTGAACGCGTCAAGCGTACTAAAAGCTTAGGAAAAAATTTCAGAGAAGGTATCTATATAAATCAAAGTTTATTGGCTTTGGCCAAGGTTATTAAACTGAAGAGTTCGAATCAAAACAATGTACATGTTCCGTATCGATCTTCCAAATTAACGCGACTCTTGCAAGATACGTTAGATGGCCGCAGCAAACTTAGCTTTATAGCTTGTATAGACTGCAGAATTGATAATTTGGGCGAATCTTTAAACACTTTTCGCTATGCAAATCAAATGCGCAACATCAAATGCGATGATTTGAAATCTCGAGCAGTGATAGTCGATACGGCTGAAATCAATCGTAATTCACAATTTAAACACATGGGCAAAAACTATGATGACGTGCTGAAAGAACTTAGCTTCTACAAACAAAAATATTTTGACTTGAAGAATGTACATGAAAAAACAAAAGGGATACGCGACAATAAATATTGTCATTTAAACTCTCATAACTTGTTCAACATGTTTTTAAAACCAGATGACAAGTATAGCTTTGAAACAAAAAAATCTCAAATCGTCACTTACATTAACCAATTATTAGCTAACTATACTTATGAACAACAGTTATGGCTTGAGCATTATAAAGGATTTAAAAATAACATAGATTTTCAAGAAAATACAAAATTAGATGCGGATTCTTCAAATAAACGTTGCTTGAACAGCAACAATAAAACTTTCACTGCTTCCAACTCTAGTATTAAATACATGAAACTACTCGAAGAAAAAATAAAATACATCAATAGAAAAATTGGATATTATCGGACTGAACTATCAATATTGTTAAGTAACTCTGAAACCGAATCTTCGATTGATTATGATCGAAGTTTTTACGAAAAAAGCCTCGATGCTGAAATAAAAAATTATGAGGTCCTGCATAACTTTGACGACGGTCATATCCCCGAACCTTTTGACATCAATCAAAAAGTTGTAAATACAATTAAACATAATACTGCTGTGCTGTCAGACGAATCTTTCTTAAAGCAAAAACGTATTCTCACCGATTTAATCAATTACCGCTTTGCTCAGCATATTAAAATCAATTTGTTATTAGATATCAATTTTAAATTAGAATCAACTAAAATAAAGTACAATACTTCTGATACGCCAACCCTGTCGGGCAATGATTCTATAAAATCGCTGATTTATGAAGCTAATGTGAATGAATTTGAAAAAAAAAAACTCACATTAGAGGAAGAACTTCTGAATTTGCAAAAAGACATCGACAAGTATTTAGAAGAAAATCAAAACACTATAATGTCTGATCTTTTTCAAATGTACTGTATAGCTTTTGAATGTTTAAATAAACAAAAGCTTCTTTTGCATTATACTTCGCTTGATGCAGTGAAACTATTCGATGAAATCGACCTGCTCCGTAAAAACTTGTCTTTTGAAAAAAATTTACGTAAACGAAAGGAATTACAGTTGTACAATGAAATGTTAGACAACGAAATAAAACACACGAAAGACAAGCTGATGCTTTTAAAGAATGATCAGTCTACTTTAGAAATAACTCAAGCTCCCAACGCAGAAAATTTTCAAAACGATACAAAAGTATCTGCCTCAATTACTTTACTGGAAAACAACTTAACTGACATTCAAGCAAAAAAACGTATTTTAGAAAAGTTTTACAACTACGATAACATTGAAAACCAAATTGAAAAGAGATTAGAAGATTTAGGTTTATCTAAGAAAAAAATTAAAACCGAGAATACCATTTACAACGAACTTAATTCTACGGATGAGTTTTTTCTCGACGATTCTGATCTATTCAACTCAAAAAAACCTGCGAACTCGAATTGCAATCTGGATGTATTCAAATCTTACAACTTTGAAGATATGGTTTTTATTAAGTTACTAAACAAAATTTTGTTTGTGGTTAAAAAAAATAGTTGTAGTTGTTATTCAGTTACCGAAAAAGATCTTATTTTTTGTTATGAATATTTGATAATGTCAAATAATATATTCGAAATCGTCTATGTTGAAGAAAAAAATAAGTATTGTTTGGTTGCACAGGAAGGAGTGTATATCGTTGATCTGACTAAAAAAATAATTCAATATTTTGAACTATCAAAGTCAACTCACTTAACCGCTGCGGTTTATATACAGAAGTCTTACGTTTGTATAGCATTTGAACATGAAGGCTTACGAATATATAATATAAATCAAGATTTGACTACCCCTGTTTGCAAAATTCCTGTTTGTGAAACCAAAGTTACTGCATTATCGTATATTAAGATAGCGAACAAGTCAGATTGCGCAAACGTTATTCCGGCAGCTGAAACTTCGTATCTTAACGGACTAATATTTGGAAGCGAGTCCGGTATAATAAAAATATGGGATACTGGTTGGAAATCTATTTCTGTGATGCCATCAGAAACACCAGTCACTAATATAAAAATTGACGAATCGTTCTTCATTATCGATGTTTTTGTTACTAAAAAAAATATGAACGATTTACTACATTGGAGAATCGATAGATCTACTTTAGAAATAATTTCGTTGCGAGATCGACCAGCTAATGACAAAAAAAAATTTCGACAGTCTTTATGTCTGTATGAGAATGCTTTTTCCAGTTTTTCATGTGTAGATTGTACACAAAAAAATGTTTTTTGTGGATTGTCTGACGGCAAAATCAAATACGGAAATTATTTAAATCGTAGCAGTGCAGAATTTGTCGATGTATCTGAATTCGATTCTTCTATTAACAATATTTTTATAGTTAATTTAAATCTCATAATTATAGGGTGCGAAAACGGTGCGGTATTTTTTGCTCGGTTTTCTAAATAACTAAAATTAACTATTGTGTCAGAAAACCAAATTCGCTTTATAATAAGCAACATGCATAATTTACAGCTCAGAATTTAAATAGGAAATTACAAACGAATACCTCAAAAATGAACGATTTTAAGTTTACTAAGGACGACGCGGTTGACGATGAATTAATACAGAGCTTTCAAGAAGTTTTTTCTTTGCTTGATCACGATAAAGACGGTGTAATATCAGTATACGATTTAAAAGTTATACTAAGTAAGCTCAATCACGACGTTTCTGACGAGGATGTTACCGATTTGATGAAACAAATCTCGCAAGGCGGAGAAAGTTTGGATTTAGTTGATTTTATTAATTCAGTAGTAAAAAAAAACAATAACTCTTTATTTGAAGAAGAATGTAGGTCTGCTTTCCAAGTTTTCGACAAAAATAACGATGGAATTTTAGATTTTTTTGAGATATCCAATGCACTTGATTTTATAGGCGAACCACTTACTAATGAAGAAATAATGGAAATTTTATCTAAAACCTCAAATCCCACAGGCATAACGTACGACGAACTTTTGGGTTTATTCAATAGTTACCAATAACTTATCGATTAAAAACAAATTTATTTTTGACTCTGCTATTTGAGAATAAATAATTTTTTGATCTAAATAAGCCTCGGGCTGTTATAATTAAAATTGGTTTGATAACAATGAAGCATCAATTATCATTGATTATAAGCTTACTTCCTCATGTTATTGCAATAACAACTCAAGCAATTGAAACAATTCAAAACAACATCATGTCACGTAAGTGTTTACTCAGCTGATAACTTTTCAGCTGATTCGTTAATTAACATTAAATTACATCCACCACAATTAACTGAAACACAAAATCAGAAAGATCTAGGTAAGTCAATTTTTCCTAGTCAATTGTAGAGGCTCTAAGCACAATATTTAAAAGCATGTTAGAAAATAACTTTAAAAACCTCACCCATGGAATTCAAACTTTGCAAGACGATTTTTACGAGAAAACATTGTAAGTCACAAATACATGTTATTTCAGTCAACTGGTAAAAACAGGATTTTCAGTTTATCAGCAAGATGAAGATTGACAAAGATTTGTTTGGTATTATCATTTGAATAAATGTTAGTTATTTAAAAAGGGTATGCAAGAGTACTTATGTAGCATGCAACATAAATTATTTATAAAATTTCATGTAAATAAACTCAAAAGTTGTAAATCACTCGTTTCAAAAAGTTTTTATTATTAATACAACTTTAAAACGCTTATAGCAGGATTAATGAGAAATACACAGCTGAAAATTCAATCAGGCAGTTTAAACTTGAATGCATTTCAAGATTATCACTGTCCCATGCTAATTTTGCCAAGAAGTTCGCTAGACCAAGAGTTCTTAGACATAGAAGATGCTTTAACAGACGAATCGTTGTCGAATTATGATAAAGAAGAAAGAGTTAAAAAAAAAAAACTTGATTCCAAACGAAAAAGTTCGTCTCTGTTCACAGAAATAGATAATTGTTCAAATGATTCAATTGAGAATGACGATCAACAAGACTTAATCATGCAACCTTCAATACAATTTAACACAGAAAACGTTAATAGAATAGATTTAAGTCAGATCAGCTCTATTAGCAAACTTTTACATCAACCCGTATCGCAATACTTAAAATCTTCCAGCGGTATAAATAAAAAGATATCTGGTGCTCGATTAAACACATATAAAAGCATTATGATAGTTTGGATACGTTTTTTGCCAAGAATACTTGAAGATTGCATGTTTCACATTCTTCGTGAAAACCAATTCAAAGCAATTGTTTTATTAGATTTGTTAATAAAAGAAATAAAAGAAATTAGTTTATATTTCGTAGTGGATCACATAAAAGAACTCGGCACTATTTTTAAAACAATTAACGATAATAAGAAACTCAACTCCGTCATTGATCTTGACATTATCAAAGAGAACAACGAACCACCATTGTTCAAGCTATTATATAATGAAACTTTAAAAAAATATCTGACTTCCGCGAAAGAACTCTTTCAAATAGCGGTCAAGAACTGTTCTGAAGTGGAAATATCTATTTGCATCGATGCAATCAAACTGTTTTTATCTATGGTGTACGCCAAATCATATGTAACTTTGTATGAAAGATGGAATTACTTCATTGACATTCTAAAGCTTTTCCAGGTACAAGATCGTTTAGACGTACAGTGGGCAGCAGTTGATCTGTTGCAATCTGCTACGATCGTTTCGTGGAACAAGTTACTAATTAATTCTATACTTACGAACGACGATGAGTTATCAGATAAGCTGCAGTTAAACAATACTTTAATTGAAAACCAAACGCAGTCAGCTAATTTGTTTCCACTTTGGTCAACGATAGATTCCGACACAGGCAACAGTTTGGAATCATTACATAGTCTCAGAAGCAACATAAAACTTAACACTCAAAACTCTCAGGTACGTCAAATCACGTCCCGTAAAAAAAATCGACACTACATCCAAGTACGACTTCATATTATGTTTCCTAAACTTATTAACAAGCCTACAATTACGCAATGGAAAACTGAAATTAAACACGGTATCACACTTTCTCATATAATTGAAGCTAGCGGTATGGTTTATTCGAAAGTACGTACTATTTTCAACCGAGACATTTTATCAATTGCAGCTTATCTCGACAACTTCGAACGCTTTATCGACTGGGTACCATATTGCTACGAAACCCAGCTGCATGAGAGATTATGTACGTTTTCTTATCTACTTTCTTATTTCGCCAATCTACCTTGGCCAATCAAAAAAAAGGAATGCTTGGTGTATTGCTCCGGGCTTAATTTTCTTGATGAAATTGGTCAATTTATCATTTTCGCTAAAGGAGTTACGAATGCTAACTTTAGCGATTTTAAAGTTCCACCTGCAAGACTTAAGATAGACCGAATCAGCACAAACGATATGATCTTTTTTTTAAAACCTTTGTCTAAAGAGTACACCGCCATTGAGCTTCATTCGAGAGTGGATTCTGGTTTGTCTCCGAGGCTGTTTAGCAAGTTGATATCGCATCTCATTAAAAGCATGGTGTTTGGTTTCATATCTAAAATCAACAAAGGTCTCTCTAACGTGAATGAAGAATTTTTAAAATCTAGACCTAATTATATTTATTTTAAGTCGTTGGCTAGCCAACTCGACAAGTATTATGCCGACAACGCCGATGAACTCGAGAAAATTCTTAAGGCTACAAAACCGGACAAAAACAGCGAAAACACCAAAGATTGGTTTCTCCATTGCGGATTTTTCAACAATAACGTAAGTACTGATTATTAGACGTTTCGTCCAATGTAAATAGCACTGATCACATCTTCAAATATCTAGCATTCATTTGATGATCGCAAAACGATACCATCAGTTCTTTTTTAAACAATATATTTAAGATCAGAAATAAACTTTGGATAAATGCTGCGGTTGTAGCTTATATTGTCGTTTTTAAGATAGTCTTTGTGCTTAATTTTTTTTTTTTTTCGAAGGTTTAGTTCCAATTTTTCTTGTGCGTTGATTTTGTCTTGTATAATTTTCGCGCTATTGTTGAGAACGGGAGAATTCAGCCAACTGACTTTCGCTGTAGCGGGGTCATCAAGCATTTTCTTGATGTGTCTATTTGCTTCGTTCTTTGCAAATTCTATTTCAGCCCTTTGGTTAAGTTTTCCGTTCAAGTAAAGAATCTCGCTTAAATTTTCCTGGACGTGGTCTTGAAACTTGTTGAATGAATCTTCGAATTTTTTTTGATCCTTAAGGAATTCGCTTTGTTCTTTAACCGCGTCCGGTTCGTACTGAAAATGAATGTTGATTGTCGGATAAGTCGGGTCGTCGCTATCATCGCCTTTGACAGGACTGTACGGCAGCCCCTCGTGTTTACCGTCAGACGTTTGCTCGTTTTCAGGCATGTTTTCGTTTCCCGGCCTGCTAGGACTCATTGCGACGCTATAGACTGCTATCCATAAAGTTTTACTCAAACTTTTCATTACCACTATCAAGCTTCTAAATCAACGACCTTAACACAAATTTGATCTAGATACGAATAATGATAATTAATACCAAAAATTTTTTCGCAGATTATAGGCCCTAAATTGTCTATCAAATTCTTCAAGCTAAACTCGTTCTGCAAATAATTGTTTTGCAAAAAACCCAAAGCCTTTTCAATGCTTCCTACCAACTTTTTCCAAATCAAAACTTACGTTCAACCAAGAAATAAAAATCTTCGCTAGAAATAAAATCCAATTTGTACGACTCGAAACGCTTGGAATCGATAAAATCTTTTTGGTGGATTTCTTTTTCGTAAATTTCGAGCAAGCCCTGAATTTCCGGCTGCTGTTGCACGTCTAAATAATCTTTGAATACGCTGTCTGCGTCAAGTTTTACTGATTTGCTTACGACCGAGATCAGCCCGAACCCTAAACGAAAAAACATATGATCTGAAACGCACCGCGAAAATATGTTGCCATTCTTATAAAAATTTATTATTTAGACTATAATTTCATATATGGGAAGCTTTACAAAAATTTTCGATACTCCCGGCTAGCTTGTTAAACTCACTTTGAAAACAGTGGGTTTCCTCTAATAGCTGGTTAGCGAGCTCGAACTGTTTTTTTGTCTTCTGAATGTCTAAAATTTCTTGTTGTTCTCTTCTTAAAGGTGTAAGGTTTGTTGCTTCCAGAAGAGTTTTATAAACAAATTCTTCTGGAAGGGCATTTTGCGTTTTGATTTTAGCAATTATGTAGAGCATTTCGGGGTTCTCACTAATATTGAAAAACGACCCTACCTTGTGCATCTGCAGTAAAGTCATCCATCCATTTGAAATCAAGTTTGAAATGTTCTTGATTATATCTAATAATTCCTGGCGATCTCCTATGTCTGTAAACTTTTTTTTCTCAAGTAATTGATTTATGTAGAATAACTGCGCTGCTGACGGTGAAGTTTGTTGAGAGATTTTTGAATATTTGATGTGCATCTTGTCGGCTGAGTTTGGTTCATTACATTGTGTTATTTTTTCTCGTTGTTCGACTAAATTATTGACTTGACTGATACATTTATTTTTAGCTTTAACGGGCACTGTCTCTTCGGGCTCGTTGATTGAATCGAGCTTTAAAAATGAATCGTTATTATTAGCCTCATTCAAAGAGTCCAACGCTTTTCTCTTCGCCGCTCGACTGACTAATTTTTCCAAGTCTATTTCTATTGCTTCAAAAACGTCTTTGAAAGACACGGTTTTTCCGCGATGACGAACCGAACCATCTTTGCGGATATTCGAATATATAAGATTTTCAACTTCTGCCGCCTCCCTCAAGCCAATCTTGTTGCGAATGAGATTAAGGAACTTAGACCGTTTCATCTCACCTCTAATGAACGTGATGTAAATGTCTTGCAGCTCTTTAACAGTCGTCTCAGATATGTACAGTGGTTGTATCAAACACGTCAACAAGTCTTTAGAAATTGACTTTGCAGAGACAGCGGGTTTTTGCGGCACACTTAAGTAGTGCAGGAAACATGATTTTTTCACTTTTTGCGATGTCATCTCTTCGGTTTTGTTTTGCACTTCTTTTTGGATATATTGGTCCACGTCATTCATGTCGACACTGAGCTCCAAAGGCCCTAATTTTTCAAGTAGTTTTTCTAGAGATAAATAGTTACCTTCATATCTCGTAGTGTAGGCCATGATATAACGAAACAAACTTGTTTTGTTGTTTACGCCGAGCTTGGCCAATGCGTCCACTAACTCTGAATGATGGACCACTTTGAGGGGCGAAGAGCCTCGCGACCCGTTCAGAATATTGAAAACCGCCATAATCAAGGCTTTTATGTCGTTTATGGCCAATATGTTCGAATATTTTTCCAAATCATCGTCTAAAAAACCAGAACTTAATTGATTTGTTTTCTTACTCATCAAAAGTTGGGGACTTTTAAACAAATTAAAAGAAGAGTTTAGCCATGTCCGCATTGGCTCGTAGTTTATTTCCACAATATTATCTGAATGTATTGAGTAATTATCATTAATTTTCTGTTTGTCATAAGCTTTTTCTATTTCTATTGGGAAAACTAGGTTGTTCACATCTTTCATTGGTTTTTCTTCCGTGCTCGCTAATTCATCCGCACCGGATTGGTCCTGCCAATGCGAACCAACATTTTTCTTACCGTAATCTAAAAACTAATTAAGCTTTAAAACAGAAAGCATGACCCATTATCATGTGATTTGACAAAACTTACTTACAATTTCTTTCATTCTATGCAGACAAATTCACCAATGGCTGAATTTAATGGACAAAACTTTCGGCTTACGCATGTAAAAAATACTCAATTATTTCAAGTTATAAAATACGTAAGAATTAACCGGTTTAGCCTGGATTACTGTTGCAGGTGCAATCAACCTTTTGATTCTATCTTTGGTGATCTGTTAATTAGTTGCTGACTTAGTCCCGAGCTTGCTAGACCACATGCATGCACTTTGCAGTATAATAAAAGATTAATAACTATTTTATGCATCATCAACTATTCCGATCTGTTGAATTATGAAAAAAAACACGCCCATAATGGAAACTAAACAAACTGTACCTCCTCCAGAAGAGAAATCGCAATGGAAAGAAATTGTCAATACTACCTCGAGCGGCCTATCGGTAAGTGGTACGAACATAAACATACTAGCATGTAACAAAATTTTGCAAAGAGGCGATCGACGGAACTTGCGCGATTCTGGAAAAAATTATTTATCCAGTCAAGGAATCGTGCTTGAAACTTTCTAATAAAGTAAGTTTTTAAAAGTATATATTTTAGATACGTAATAGTACGCGGAATACACAACATTTAGTAGCAAGAACTAGCGATTAAGCATGATGGTTTACTATGTAATGAATGAAAATTTATAATAATTGAGGCAATCTTATTTTCTAATATATTTGATTTTTGCCAGTTAGTTACCACTTTTTTAAAGTAAAAACGTTTGCCAGAGCTAAAGAAACAAGTATTGTTATCATATAACTCTGATCAGTCGATTTTAAACGCTGCATGGTATGTATATTGAGTTAAAGCGAAACTTCACCTGAACGAACTTCAATGCTGAGTTAAAATGTCTGAAATTCGAAATCAATCAAAAAGTAATGAATCTATATTAACGATCAAGCGTTTGCATGCCGGTTTGTATCATTCTTTCGCCATATCTTATATTGACGAGAAAGTCAATTTGTATGGTTGGGGCGTAAATTATAATTCCCTATTAGCATTGGACGACGCTAGCCAAATTATATGTAAGCCTGAAATTATAAAGTTCTTTAATGATAAAGAAATTTATGAGATAGACTCTGGTAGGTTTCATTCGGTTGCTTTATGTAAAAGAAGCATTCATTCGGGAGGAAAAGTGTATTCATGGGGAATGGGAAACTTAGGAAGGTTAGGATACGTTTACAACGACCTGGTAGGAATCCCTGATGACGCTGATTCTGAACAAGGATGGTACAATAACAGGCCCAAACGAGTTGTTGTGCCCGGAAGCAAGAATATTAAGTTTATCAGAATCGCGTGTGGAGAAAATTTCACCTTGTTATTAGATACTCATGGCAGAGTGTATTCATTTGGAGAAAGCAAATTTGGGTCGTTAGGACTCGAAGAAGCTAGGTTGAGCTGGTATCCAAAAGAAATCAACATTAAATACGAAGCAGAAGATTATTTCTGCGATGACTTCATAATTGATATTGCTGCTGGTACTCATCACTGTTTAGCGTTGTCGAAATCGGGTAGACTGTATGCTTGGGGTTCAAACTCTTACGGGCAATTAGGACTAGGAGACACTAAAAATCGAATTTCTCCTGTTGTGGTGGAACATTTAAACCATGTAAAAGTTACTCATATTTCTTGTGGCGACCAGCATTCGGCCTGCATAGACACGGATAGAAATTTGTACACTTGGGGAAACGCGCAGAACGGAAAATTGGGTATTTTTAGCAACCAATATGAAACGTATCCGGCAAAAGTGTTGTCAATTACAATGTTGAAATGTGCATCTGTATTTTGTGGCTTCAATTCCACTTTTTTCATCACCGTCGACAGAAAACTTTACAGTTTCGGAAACAATTTCTTGGATGTCCAGTCAAACAAAAATTACGAGCCAACACTTATTCCCATAGACAACATTGTTTCGGTATCTGTTAGTTCGTTTCACGTTTTAGCTGTTGACAGTGATAAATGCTTATACACATGGGGAGAGAACGATCAATTCCGTCTAGGAATTCAAAATGTCGATAGAATCACTAAACCGACCGCGATCCGGCAACTGCGATCAGCTATTTTTATTGAAGATATTTTGGGAATTTACACCAACTTAAAAAGCCTCGTTGAAACGGACGTTAGTATGACGACAAATATGGCGAGTCCTGCCCAACCAAAAAAAATTGCTTGCGGACCTAACCACATGTTAGTTATTTCTAGTAAAGGTTTTTTGTACGGCTGTGGGTCTAATAAGAGCTTTCAATTGGGTATGCCTAAAGATACATCGTACGTCGATAAACTAGTTTTAATTCCCAATTTGGACCAAATAACTTTTGTTGATGTTGCTTGTGGAAGTGATTTTTCGTTGGCAGTTGACTCATTTGGTAATCTTTTTGTGTCCGGCAACAACAAATCGGGCGCTTGTGGTTTAAGTTATCAGGAAGTAATTCCAGTTTTTACAAAATTATTTAATATTACCAACGTGTTTGCTGTCAGTTGCAATAATAACTACTCCGCCATTATTGTAGCTCAGCGATCTCTGGAAAACACAGAATTGAACGATCGAGTGGGTTATTTGATGATGTCGGGTGATTCTACTGATGGGAAAACTTCTTTTCCAAACGACGTGAACATTTTTCAAAGAGTTAAAAATCTACCTGAGACAATCAAACTTATATCATGTGGAACAAACCATGTTTTGGCAGTCGACGAAGATGACAACGTATATAGTTGGGGTAATTCCGACGACGGTAAACTTGGTTTTGTAGAATCTGTAAACGCTTACACACCGAAAAAGCTGCCGTTTTTTTTACCTAAAAACACAAGCATATTGCAGGTATTGGCTTGTAAAAACCACTCTGTAGTTTTATCCAACAAAGGTTTCGTATTTGCTTGGGGATTATATAGTTGCTTGTCAAGTATGGAGAATTTATCTAAACCCACCAATATTCAAGGAATACTTTTAGAAACGGGGTTGAACAATGTCATGGTGCGACAGATTTTTGCTGGAGATGCTTTTACAGGGATCATGACCGTTGAAAATAAACTGGTTTTACTTGGTACACTTGATAAAAAGTTTTATCTCAATTTAAATTCGGAAACATTGCTAGATATTAAAACATACAACTCGCCAGTCATTTATGAATTAGGCTTCCGGCCAAAAACGATTACAGCAGGTAATAATTATATTGTAATTTTTTCTACGCAAGGGCACTTCAACCGGCTTAATATTAATATTTCAACCTCAGATTGGTTTCATTTTCAAAAACAACAAAACACAGCAGAATGTAATATTATCGAAGTAGAATGGGCCATAAACGACATAATTCCGGATAAGTCGCAAAAAAAAATAGCCGCCATATCGCGCGAAACATTAGAACGAAAAAAAGACGGTGTAACCGCTAAAAATCAGGATTATGAAAGCTACAGTGTTTACTCTACAATTAACAATTCGTACATCAAATTAATGTATTTGGTTTCATACATGAACAACAACAGTGCGCCAAATATTTCCATGTTGCAATCTTATTTAAAAAGTACTATTTCTTATGAAGAACTTCTAAATTATATTTCAGACTTCAATCTTGAATGCAAAACGGTGTTTGAAGAGATACTTCGTTTGAGTACGGTTTATCAATCAATTGACAAAAAAAACAAACAATTTACCTTAATTTACAATGCTTTAACCGTTATTGATAACATGCCTCCTAAAATATACGATGTTAACGCTTCGCAAACTCTCCAGAGCTTACAAGAAACGTACTTACTTGAACAAATAGTTCGAATGCAATATCTGCAACCTTCTTATCTTTTAACCATATTGGATACTACTAGTTCGTTAAATACGATTTATTTAACATGTTCGTATATTAATTCGTTATATAATTTTGATGGCAACAAAGCCGGTATTTACGCTTTACTGCGGTACATAGCACTTTCTGAAGTACAATATTATACTGAGACCGATCTAGAATCTTTGTTTATGTGTGAAGAAAGCGCGTTTCGAATTCTGCTTGTCGATTTTTTGTTTCGTAATTCTACTGAAGTTAAGAAAATTTTAAATCCACTTATTTGTATTTCGAATCAGTCTACGACATCTTTATTAAAAACACTTTTGGATTTAGACCTTGGCATTGCCAGCAACGATTATTTAATATGGGCTTGCAATTTTGAAGAGTTTCAATCTAAAGTTAATATGTTAGAAAAGAGTCAAAACAATAAAAGAAATACGCCTCCTAAGAATGATTCGTCTTCAGCACAAAATGTTGAACTTGATTATGATAGTAAAACTAACAATAAAATTATCTACGAAGCCAATATTGCGCTTTTTGAAACTTTCGCCACTACTGTAGAGCGAAACTTGTTTAATTTCTTTTTTATTAACAAAGAACTACTAGAAATTTTAAGTCTTATCATCCTTGAAGCTGCTAAAAATCTGAAAACACCTGCCATCACGAGCATTAAAATCACAGAAACTTTCTTTAAGGTTTATATTTCTTATATTATTTACCCATTAGTGCAATATTATCCTGAAGATTTAAAAAATTATGGTTATCAGACTACGGATTGTCTTAGAACGCAGAAAAACTTTTTATTTTTTTTCGAGTTAGCTATAGATGTCATTTTTCATAGGTACTCGGAACACGATGACAGATATATGCAAATAATGGATCGATTTTTCCAAAATGCAGCCTACAATATTTTCAAATCGTTGCACACCATTGAGACTGAAATAGATATAAACCTATTCAAAGAATATATAACATATTATATAGAAAAATCTGAACATGACTTTTTTTTGCGATGTCTAGACAAAAACGTTATCAAAATCACTGCTAATTACTATTATAGATATGCTAAAGAACACTTCACAGCGGTGGCATTCGATCGCTTGTATCATTTGCTTAAAAATATCACAACTAGTAAAAACACATCACTGCCTTTTCCTGAAGTCAAGGACTTTGAACAAGAAAATTATGACGCATACGACAAACTGAATACTGATATTTTTATTGTAAAACTTATTCCTCTCATAAATTATTTTAGCTCTGGGATTATTCGAGACCCCAGAACGAAAATTATGGTACCACAAATTTTCACGTTTGCTGATTCAACTTTGGAAATACACCGAGCACAAAATTTAGAAGACAAAACTATGACTAAGCTTAACATACTCAGTTTTGTTCCCACGTATGTCGAACCTGACCACTACTTAGACACAATAATTGCTTTCATTACTTTAACAGACAAATTAGAAGCGACAGCATTGGACGCCTTATTAGAGCAAATGGTTAATTATATGGATTCAGCTAAAACAATAAACAAGAACTCAAAAATCATTGCACTTTGCGACGAGTCGTACGATTTATTAAACAATCTTCGGGATGAAATCGTTATTAACGACATTTTTAAAGCATCATTTGGCATTTTAGAAAGCCGGCTAGATGCATCAATTTACTATAAACAACTTTACCATTACATCAACCCTTTGAAAGCCAAGCTTTCTAAAAGGTTCAACGAATTAGAAAAATTTGCAGAATATCTCACAACCTTAATTTACTCAACCGTCAGCCAGAATTTCAGTGACCCCTACGTTAATTTGTTTAAATTCTACGAACAAAACCCAAGCATGTTTCAAATCATTAGTATTATGAATAAAACCACGTTGCCTCGTCGGTGGACCATTTCATTCGAAACGTTATTAAAACATCACATTTTAGTTGAAGCCAAAACAATGTCAAACAATCTGTCCATTGTTCTGGTAGATTATACTGAAGATCTCAACATCAACTGGAGTTTGGAGTACGATCAAAACATCTTAACGTTTCAGTACGCACTGTAAGTTTTCATTCACTCAAATGTTTTTAGGCCTGATCACGCCGAACTAGAAAACACGATTTTCCCGGAAAACCCCGCGGCAGATTTGATATTCAACCGACGCAACTTAATCAAATACTTAGACTATGTTTTTTCACTTTTTTATTCTATAGATACAACGGTTTTTTACAAACAAAAAAAAATTTTATCTAACTAATAGCAATAGCCTTTTTTTGCGATGATTTTGTTTTTAGGAATCGTATGTCTCCCAAGGAACGGGGATTTTTCCCGTTCTTGAAGTACATGAACAAGAATATCAAAAATGTGATCACACCGGTCGCGATGTAGCCGTAGGGTATGTACATGTTTCGACCTCCTAAGTGAGTTTTCTGCATTATTATTATTTTTTTTTTGAAACTGCCGTTGCTAGTGTCATAACGGTCGACCACTTCAACATAAAAAGGAAAAATCAAGTCTTCTTTGATTGTTGCGTATGGCTTTGAAAAATTTGGAACACCAGCCAATTTCGTCCAAACTTGAAAGTGGGGATTACTAATACCGCCCGGAAAAATGTCTCGATCTAGCCAGTCATCAAAATGTTCTTTTTGCTCTTCCGTCAGCTGTGGATGCTTTAAAATTGATGTTTTGTTTAGCGGCCAAACCAAGTCTTCTAGTGATTCGCTGATTGCAACTGGCGTACCATCTTCCTTGTACAACTTAAACGTATCTGTAAAAACAGATCGCGATACTAACCCGCACGGTAAGTATATTTGATGTTTGTCATTTTCAATCCACGGCTCGCAAGATTTAACGTCCGCTCTGTCTGTCGAAGCGTGTCCGCTCAGCTGATCCAGGGAATAACTTTTCTGGAAAAGAATGTGGCCCACAAAAAAATTTTCTAGTCGGTAGTACAATGTTATGGGTTGTTTAATGTAACTTTGAAAAGTTTTTTTGTCTGTCAAGATTCGCCCTTTGCAGTGTTCGGGTAGCACCTGTATTCTGTACGTGCCCCGGGCTCGATTGTCATACTCAATTTCACAACTTACAATATCTCTTATGTAGAAGAACGTAAAAAAACCGTTCAGTGTTAGAAAAAAACTGATCGAGAAAAGAATCAACAAAACCGTTATTGGCTTTAACACTACGTGGTATTCATAATGGTTTCCTGTGGATTTTTTTATTTTTCCAATAAATTTACGAAACACCATTACTCCATTGTTGCTTTATTCGCCGTGAAACAAAATCTGATCACTCCGTAAAAGTTTAAATAAATCTCTTAGCCAGTTTAATTCGTCCCTGAGAACGCGAAAAAACTTTATAAAAAAATTATACCAAACAAATGTATATTCGAGCGAATCCGCGCATTTTCTCTATTTCGTTGAAAATGATCAATGCTCTAATTTTTTTCACGACGTCTATTTGATTATAGATTAAATTTTATTAAGATATTTAGTCATATATTTTTATTTTTGTTTGGTTCGTATGTTTAGTTAAATAGTTTTTAGGCAATACTTGAAAAAAACGTTTGTACTTTTGATATCAACTCACACGAGTTTGCATGACTTGCATTAAGCATAGCTTTATATGATAATTACGAATCGATGGTTTTATGATACGATTTTGCTTGATGATATCCTTTTGAATTTGTTTGAACACGAAGAAGACTACTTTAACTTTCTACGAAAAGTGAACAACATTACGCAGTTTGACGACAGCTTAATGTATATTTCGAACGGAATTCAGCAACTGTTTGCTATCTCGAGCGATAGGCTGCGCAGAAAAGTGAAATCCTGCTATCCAACAGTTTTGCACGGTGACGACGCACAAATGTTTGCCTTGATAATGGGCAGAGCTGTTTACAATAGCGAAAAAATATTAGCTCAGCACATCAGCGGTCCAAAAATTGTTTACTTAAGTAACAAAATAGTTGACATCAACTCATACATTATTGGTCAACGAGAAATTAGTGAAATTAAAAAACAACAAAACCGACTACGCAGACAGTTCAGATGCACAAGATCGACTTCGTCAACCGCTGAAACGGTAGACAATCTGCAGGGTTCAACTCAGCATGACTCAGTTGCGGATTTAAACAATTATATTTTGATGCAAAACGATTTCTATAACCGCGAAGACAAGTCTGAACAAGACCAAAAAAAAAACAATAGTTTCAAAAAAGTAGACACGACCGATGGCGTTACGCAGAACGTGCCCAACGAATACGATTTGAGCCGCATGGAAAATGAGATGCTCTTTCAAAAAACGAATATGATCAAACTCATAGACAAATTGGCGTACTACAGCTATGGCTGTTCCTGGAACGAGATGCTAACACGCATTGCCCATCATTCGCAAAGTAATGTTACATTTCTCATCATAGATCACGCGGATTACATCACTGACAACGTGGAGTGTTTCAAAGGGTTTTTCGAGAGCGTAGCGAATTCGTTTATCCCCACGTTACTCGTCAAACACAAAAAGCTGAGACCGCGCCGCTGCTACGCGTATCCACGAATTTACATTCCGACTTTGTCTCTGAAAGATTTGAAGCTCTGTTTGAAGTCAAGTTCAGTTGGGGCTTTTTGCGTGAAGTGCAATTATTCAGCGATACAAGATTCGATGAACAAAATCAATCACAGCTCGAACTATCAAATTTTTTTAGAAACGCTCAAAAAATCAAACTTAACAATTCCCTGTAGAGATAGCATCCTACAGCAATTGCTAGAAATGCTCCAGCTCGTATTTACATTGGAAGTCACTGAAGATGAGTTTTGCTACTATCTACTGATTATAACCAATGGCAAACGGAGAGTAGTTCAATATGCGTGCCAGAAACTGTTGTTTCGGCTTATTCGTCACCTCGATCGACAGTTGTTAGAATCGTATATACAAAACGAAAATATTGACAATGTTCAAACGTTATTGAACCTGAAGAAAAGGACTCTGCTGTTTAACGAGAAACAATCTGCCGAACACGCTGATAAAAAAAAACTTACATGGCTCAGACTGATTTCGTACGCTTTTTCTAATGAACATTTCCCATGCAAGATATTTTCTAACTTGTTGGAAAACAACAGCGACATCGAAGTTTTGAGGTCTGTCGACCCAGATTACTTCGCCTACATCGAAAAAGCAAACTTAATGATCAACCTGAACGAAGTCAACTACCATATGATTAAACCTCTTGATTACTACGAAAATTACAAAGTCATAGACAGAGCTCTCTCGTGGGATCACGAAAACTCTCCGTATTTCGCTTATCGCAAAGTCATTAACGGAATCTACACGGTCTCTGACAAAGAAAGTAACATTGACTTCTGTACGCACTTTAACAGGTACGAGCTGATAGAACCTCCCGTAAACGTTATACAAAGTATATGTTGTAAAGACTTAAGTCTGTTTGTTATTTACATCTACGATAATTTTATTAATTCTATTACATGGAACCATAGTGCCATTGTGAATCATGATGTCAACTTGAAAGTTTTTCTTAAAGACAGTGTATTACATACTCTTAGTAACTTGATATGTTTGAACAACTCTTATGAGCGTTCTTTAGATGTGTACAGAGCTGTTTTAATTTCTCTTGCCTATGCCGCTGTTAGCGAAAAAAAATTTATAGTTTTATTTTACATCTTTTCACTATTGCTAAAGTCTGACGAGATTGATTTTTTAACCACTTGGCTCGAAAAAAAAGTCATCAAAAAATCACCTATGAGAAAAAATGAAATTTTGATTGCGAATTCAAAACTCTCAGTGACTCATAACAAGCATGACCAATGTATTTCGTACGAAAATGTACTCGAAATAGCGTCTTTCGGAGTTTACCGAATTCATTACTTTAACGAAAAGAAAGACCTCGAGATTTGTCCTTTATGTGTTAAATTCGATTACATTCTTAACAAGAAAGATAAATCGGTTTTAATAAAAACCCCCACTGATTTATATAAAATCAACGTTTTAGACTGTCATGAGTTGATTTTATCTAGCCAGGATAAATATCTAATTATCACTATTTAATTAAATTAATTTTTATTAGTACTACTGTAGTTAATCTTAACTTTATTTATCGGTTTTTACCTAACTCTTCTGTACTATTGTGTAATTAAAAATTCATCTACTATTTTTTTCAGATGAATAAAAAGTCTGTCAAGAAGAATACTGGGCTCGTAAAAGTTGAACCTTCGAATGAAGTTTTCGACATCGTGACGTTATTGCAAGAAGACCGCATTGATGATAGAAAGTAAGTGTAGTGTCTTTTACATTTGTTAGAGTAATGCATTTCCTAGATTTTGTTGCGCCTCCTACGGCGTTGTCACCAGTTTCTCTGTGCCATGTTTGCGGCAGAGTTACATTATTTCAGTGTCCACCCTGTTCCAACTTACGCAAACAAAAGTATATTTGCTCTAAAGAGTGTTCAAATATTCATAAATTATCAGATTGTATTAAATCTAAAAACATCTATTAACATTTAACGAATCAGTTTTTATCATCTAATTCATACAATTTATTTGCAAAATTCACTCTAGTTTAAATGAATCTTGTAATGTAGTGAAAATTAAATTTAGATTTTTTTTTTCTTCCTCGTGTAAGCCCTGATTTTTATCTGTATGGCACTGTAAAAGCGCCGCTTGAAAAAAATTTTTGATGTTTTGTTTGCTGTCGAGTTCAAACCACTTTATTGGTTTCCATGTATTCAAAACCAAGTGTAAATTCAGTAACAATTTTCTAACGTCGTTTTTATGTTCCAACCATTTATCAAAATTTTCAGATACCGTTTTGCGTTTTAATTCAGTTAAAAAACTGTTGTCTTTATTTAACTCAATTATAGATAAAATCGAGTCTGAATCCGTATTTTTTGTTTCCGATATAACACTGCTTGATGCAATATCCGATTCAAAAAAATACAAGTTATTTCTTTCACTAATATTTTTATTTGACTTTGAATTTTGTTCGTTAACTAGACTTTCATTGTAAAATGGTTTTTGATCCAACGTATACTGCGACACAATTTCTATTTCAAAAAGTAGTTTCACAAAATTAACGTCATCCTCAGTTTGAATTAACTTGCTCAAATCTGTATCATCATTTACATATATCAAAGCGCCAGTAGTTATAAAAAAACATAAAAGCCTATATTGACTATTATTATTTTTAAATATTCCACTTGTTAATTCGCACAATTTACGCAAAAAAACGCCATTTCTCAAAATAGTAATATTTCCTTCATCTAGAATCAGTTGATCATCGTACAAAATAGAATAAAATACAAATAGATCGTTCTTTGAATATTTTATATTTAAAGCCTTAAGGCTAGTAAAAATTGTGATATCAGTATCAGCTTTTTCTTTTATATATTGATTATCAAACTTTTTTTCGTAAAATTTATGCAATTCTTCATTAAATGATCTAGCATGCATTTTGAAATATTATAAAAGAGTTTTGAATTTTCTTTTTGCTGTGCGAAAGCTATACTTGCAAATATTAAAGATGAGTACTAGCACAATATATCGCTAAAATATATAAATGGAGAATAATAGATCTACAATAAGAACTATTTTAAATAATATCCTGCAAAATAAACAAATTTGCTACAATGCAGCTAAAACTTATGTAGAGGTACGTTTGCATATTCTATATATTCGCGTTTTTAGTATACAAAAAAATCTATCAATCAGCCATTGACAATTGAAGATATTAAAGAGGTTATAAATTCCATTTTACCTTTTTGTGGCTTGAACAAAGTTGATGATGCAGAAGATATCAGACCCTTGTTTGACAAATTTGATTCAGATAACACAGGATATTTAACTTTTGACACTTTCGTTTTATTTGTAAGTTGCGCCAACACCATTTGAACAAATGTTAATAATATTTTAGTTTTGGAATGTATTACATCGTATTAGAAACAAATATTTTAATAAGACAGACTTAACCGTGGAAAATAAAGTTTATATTTTCAGAACAAAGTTAGAAAATCACAATATTACTGATTATTTCTCAGATTTCAATAAAATAGGGTCAGGTTCATTTGGAACCGTTTTTTTAGTTAAGGAAAATGCAACTGGTGACAAACGTATCTGCAAAATTATTAGCAAAGGGAAGGCGTTAATACCACACGCACAAATAGAAGCAGAGATAAATGCAATGAAAATGCTAAAACATCCGAACATATTACGGATTCATGACATATATGAAGATTTGAATAATATTTATCTTATATTGGATTACTGTTCAGGGGGAGAGTTGTATCAACGATTAAATAACGTGCAGAAACGCGGTATGGTTTTCTCCGAAACAAGAGTACGATTGCTGATGCGACAAATTTTATCGGCTCTAGCATATATGCACGCAAACAACATATTGCACAAAGATCTTAAGCCTGAAAACATCATGTTTGTTGATTCAAGCATTCGAGATCACTTAGTTATTATTGATTTTGGACTATCAGAAATTTTTGAAAAATCGCAAACAATCAGTCACCACGCTGGTGGAACCGTATTATATATGGCTCCTGAAGTATTTTCTCGAAAATTATCATTCAAAAGCGACGTTTGGAGTGCCGGCTGCATAATGTTTTTGTTGTTGACGGGCTATTTGCCGTTTTCAGGTCGAACAATAACAGAAGTCAACGAAGCTGTTAACAACTCAAACCCCAAATATCAAACCAGATGTACTCATTGCAGTAAAGCAGCCATTGACTTACTGCGGTGGATGTTCCAAAAAAAAGTCAACGACCGTTGCTCTGCGCAAGAGGCACTCAACCACAGTTGGTTCACAAAAGACTTAGTTATCGAAAAAGCTAACATCTCTCGAAGTGTTTTACAAAACCTGATCAAATTCTGTCATTACCCAGTATTAAAAATAATATTACTAAACATCGTCACGTATTCATTTGAAAATTACGATCGCGAAGTCATTGAGCTGTCAAGGCTTTTTCACGCGCTTGATACAGATTTTACAGGAACGATTAAAACAAAAAATCTAATTGCATCACTCATGGCGTCTGGTTTGTCCGAAGCATTGTCACTCACTATTGCTGAAACACTTGATCTCGACGACGATGGTCAACTGACTTACACTGAGTTTTTGACAGGCACAATCTCGTGGTTCGAGTCAAGAATTGATCGAATACGAGCTTCTTTCAAAAAAATGTTACAATATAATTTAGAATATATAACTACGGAGCAGCTAGCGAAAAAAATACTAGGAGAAGATAGCACAGACAAACCGGAGTATCAAAAATTACTAAAAGATCTCAAGAAAATTGACACTGATCACACAAATAAAATCACTTGGAGAAAATACTATCAATATATTTCTTCCGCGTGAAAAACGATCTCAATAAATCAACAAATGAAAATCTAAATTGCAAAACATAAGTTATTAATCATTTTTTTTTAAAAAATATTTTTTTTGTGTGATCTGCGTCATAACGTCAATTTGAACCCGTTAAATCATATTTTTATTAATAATTTTATTTATAAAACAGAATAATTATTATAAGAAAATGACTACTACTACTACCAAGCCTGAATTTTCTAAAAATCCCTCTGCTATTAAGGGCTCCACGAAAAAAAAAGTGAAGAACAGTTCTGTTCAAGGACGTTTTTCGTCCTACATCGCTAAAGTGTTGAAAAACACTGACAAGACCATGACAATGAGTCAAAAATCAATGGCAATTATGAACTCTTTTTGCGTTGACAACTTGAACAAAATCATGGACGAAGCTGCTTTGTTATGTCAGAGAAACAAGATTAAAACCTTGACTGCCCGTGAAATTCAAACTGCTGCTCGACTTGTATTACCAGGTGAACTCGCCAGAATGGCCTGCAACGAAGGTGCTAAGGCTGTCGCCAACTTTGCTGAGAAATCAAAGAGAAGTGCCAACCAACGATCTGTTTAAGGATGTTGCTTTGAAACATTTATATTTATAAATTTTTTTCTTTGAACACCATGAACTGAAAATTCACTGTTTTTTAACTATATAGCTCAAAATTATGTTAATATATACTACATTGCTTTTTTCAAAGCAGCATTTCTTTACCAAATAAAATATTTATTTACTAACGCTCACACTAATGTAGGCATTATCATTGTCATTTATGACAATGTTTGAATTTTATTAGTAGAGTTTGGCTTACTCTGTCGTACTAGCATGAATTAGAAACTTTTTATCGGAAATTTTACAGTATTGACGTGTAGTTGTCGTAATTTCTAGTTTATATTTATAATACGTATTATTTTATAAAACGGTGATTTGACTGACTGTCAACTAACTCAAATTTCAAATCTTTAACTCTCTAGGCTCAAAACTTATATCAAGATTAAATCCTAAACTGCAAACGTATTCTTTTTGAATGAAATAAAGTCTCTTCAGTCAAATGTTTTAACTATATATACTATTTATTCACTTAAACAAAAAAAAGAGACTGATAAATTAGTATATTATGTACAATACAGACCAAATAAAAACTTAAATAACGTTCAATTCCATAGTAAACAGATAAATTCATGTTTTTTATGTTTACGAACAATGCAACAATTGCCAAAGCTGATGCTTTAATTTTATTTTAAGTTTCAAACATTGTCTTTAATACTTTTCCATAAAAAGTCAATACAAAGTTATATTCGAAGTAAAACAAACGCAGAAATGTCGGCTAAGCGACGTAGATGCGATTCTAACTTATCTCTAAACAACTACGTAAATAATCATTGGTTAAAATAAGTCACCATTCAATTATCTATGAATTTGATTTTGTCAAAATCAAAAACGCAAAACTGCAAGATTCAAGTTTAAACATTAAAAGAGCTGACGTAAACTAAACTCTCATTTATTGTAAAAATCTTTTAGGATTTGCTTACTTATTTCGTTTTCTAGTCCGCCAAAGACTTCGTCCAGTGTAAGCTTTTGATTACACACGCGTAATACTGTTTCTTCGATAGTATTTTTACATACTAAACGAAAAACCAATACGTCGTTTGTCTGTCCAACTCTGTAAACCCTTGCTTCTGCTTGACGATCATTGTGAGGATTCCAGTCCATATCCATCATGACTACTATGTGGCTACTAGTCAAATTCAAGCCCACTCCAGCCACTCTAGTGCTAAGCAAAAACAACGAGTAGTCGCCATTATTAAAGTCGTTAACTATTGAGTTTCTAACAGTTACGTTTGTTGACCCGTCAATTCGCAAAAAACGAAATTGAGGATAGAAGATTTTGATTGCGTGTTCAATAACGTTTAGAAATGTAGTGTATTGAGAAAACAACAAAATCTTAAGACCACGGGAACAATAAGTTTCAATAATTAAGAATAGTTCTCTAAGCTTGGCACTTTGTAGAAAATACTTATCTGGAATTAGAAATTTTGAGAAGTCATTGTTCAAAGTTAAAGCCTCACAGTGAATGTCAAAATCACAGAGATTTATTATGTGCGTCAGAAGTTTTGCTCTTGACTCAGGCAAATATTTTTTTTCCTTTATCAATAAGTCACAAAAGTTTTCATAGTCCTCCTCAGAATAGTAAAATTTAAATAGTAATGGATGGTTACATATTCTACGTAACTTGAAAATGGAGCCTCGCAACTTTCCTGGATTAGAAACATCTGAATAACAGTGGATGATATCGTGTTTGGTTTTTTCATAAAGTTCTAGTTGCATTGACGTCAAAGGTACCAGCTTGAGAATTGTTTTTTTCTTGACAAACTTCGGCAAGACTTCGGATTTCAGCCTGCGCAAAATAAAAACCGAAAGCATTTCGTGAAAGAACAAGATTTGCAGCGTTTCTTTGTTGCTATTGTTTAGCTGCAGAGACTCGGCCAACTCTTTGTTTGAGCTGATCAGTTGATTCGCTATGAATTCATAATGAGAAAGCGCTTTAAGAATGTCAACTGAATGACCGTCCGGAGTCGATATATCTAAAAATTTAAGAAGATTCAAGAGTTCGTTCAAAGCGTTCTGAATAGGCGTTCCCGTGAGCAATAACTTTCGAGGTGTCGAAACAGAGTTTTTTATCTTTCCATATCTCTGAGCAGCGCTGTTCTTGATCGTGTGAGCTTCATCAATCACCAACAAATCGAATTTGTACTTGCGAAAAAATGAAAGCGTGTCGAATGATGAGCTCAAAACGCCATGAGAAGTAATGACGATGTGGAGATCGCCAAAACTGCTATCTGAGCTTTTTTTGTAATTTGCATCAACCACATAGCCTAACGTTTCTGCGTTCTCATCTTCGGAGAAATAATAACTCTCGTCGTCGAGTTCAGACTCATAATATTGAAAGGAGTCGTCGAGTTCTATGTTTTCGAACTTTTTAAATATCTCAACTAAGCTTTTTCGTTTTTTTTTATGCCCGTGATACACTAAATAATTCAAAAGAGGCGTTTTTGAGTTTATCTCGGCCGTCCAGTTGTCTATTATAGTTGTAGGACAAGCAACTAGAACTGGACGTTTGAGCAATTTTTTCGAGAAAGCGTAATCGATAAACGCACAAACTTCAATAGTCTTACCCAAACCCATATCGTCGGCCAAAATGCAGTTGTATTTGGCGTTCAAAAAAAAAAGTAAATACTGTACGGCTACCACTTGATAATTGAACAAGTAGGTACACTTCTTAATTAAATCTTCGTCAACATGTAGAGTTTCAAAAAAAGAACAGCGTCCATTTTTTATTAAAGCGTTTGGATTGGAACTTTGCCCACCGGATAGCCATTCAAGCAACGAGTTTTTAAGATTCTGAGATAAAGACAACAAAGCTGAGTAGTGGTGCTTATTTTCATTGAAGAGCTCAACTTTGTTCATTCTGCTAAATGAGACTTAGAACCCAAAAACGCTCTTATTATTAATGCAAATTTATTTCCAAAATAACAGGAATTAATTTACTTTCAGACAGATTTAAAACTTTGCAATCACAAGATTCTGCTATTCAAAGTAAATTTATAAATTTAAAAAATCAGATACTCGCGTTTCTATGAAAACGTCAATTATGTATCGGTTTTAGCAACATCATTAATTGAACGAACTAATTCCAAAACACTCCTGCCAGAATTTAAGTTTTTTGAAAAAAAAACTGTTGACGCAGATTGTATCTAATAAAAAAACGAAAATGTTTATCATTTTATTTTGCAGTTAGAAATCCTCATCAAATGATAAGGCAATGCTACTATTATGCGATTTTGTGTTGTTAGCTGTTGCATCGGCAATTAAATTTTCGTCGCACACGTTAGAATACGATTCAATGAAATATTGCATACCAAAAATCGATTTTAGATTAGTAGGTGCTTCGGGGTATTGATGTTTAGTGATTTTCATTAGGTTGGGGATATCTGCAAATTCCGGTAACATGTCCTTTGGGGTTGCCTGCAAATTAGTGTAAATGTAGATAAACCAATACATAAGAGCACACAACTGGATGACAAAGTTCTCGTGTTGTTCCTTGTTTAAGAAGCAACCTGAAAGTTCTTTTAGTAGGTCAAACATTTCTCTGAGATTTTTCTTAAAGTCAGTACAACTGAGCTTTTCGTGATAGTTACTATAAAGATAGCCATAAAAAACAATATAAAGGAAATTGTTTTCAAGCATATTACGCACAAAGGGATATTCGTTTTTACTATCTTGTTCCAATTCCTTAGCACAGAGTAGCAGCACTACATAGATCAATTTACGAAATCCATATGACAAAAGAACAATAGCAAAAGAGCTTGTAGTATTGCATTCTTCTATGTTTGAATTTCCAAAAGCTTGAAAAATAAACTTGTTCGATTGAAAAAAGGGTGTACAGTTATCAGTAAACCAAGTTGAAAATTTAATTATTATTTTTAGTACAGTTTCGGAAACCATTGAGAACAAATTTTCATTTATTTCTACTTGGCTGATCTTCCGTGACGTACGACGATGTATAGAATCAAGCATAATTTGAAAACCCAAAAATGCTCGCGCTTCAGGTGACTGGATGACAGTGTTCAACATTGTTGTGAAAACACACTCGTCGTCAAGACTGCAGATTGAACTGTATTTCAGCTCCGGAGAGCCCATAAAAAGCAGATAAGCTATGAAAATGTCTTTTGAATGTTTCACGGCTAGCTGCTGTGGAGTGAATGAGCAATCACTCCAGAAGGTAGCCTCGAGTTTTTTGTACATAGCCTAAAATTGATTTTCCAAAAAACACTTACGAATATTCCTGGGTAATCAATGGGAAACATTGTCCAGCGAAGTGAACTTTCTTCCAAAATGTCATTTTTGTAAACTATTGTATTTTTGCTGTGTTCGCTCATGTAAGTAATCACACTGGTTTTTCTATAGTCTAGTATTATTTAATTATAAAAATTTTAATTGAATTATGGAAAAGGCCAGCAAAAAATATTCAGAAGAAAAAGAAATAAAATACTTATCAAAAAAAATAATTTAGTGTTTCGTGTTTTGTAGTTTCAAAACTTTTCCTACACAAATTGTTTTACTTTCATCTCTTATTGTAAATCTGCTCAGCTGTGCTGAATCA